GTATTGTCCTTAAGACATGTTACTTATACCTTTCCGCACAATCATTTCCTGGTGGGTAGGCTAAGCGAAACGAAAGAACTTGACAACGAAAGTTATTTTACAGGGAAGTAATTCAGTGGCAAGTTAGCTGGAGAACAAGATATGCAGATCAGCTTTACAGTTCTGCATCCACCAAAGTAAATGAGGAAACACCTGTTTTAATAGTTATTGATTGCACTCAAATTCTCAAAAACCACAGAGGTAAATGAATTTTCCCAGTCTCAGATTTGGCACCATTTTCCTAACCACAATGAGGGCTGAGAGAAAAACTATCAAATCACAAAAGTATGGATTAGTACTCTTGAGTGCGGTCTTTGTTCATTTACATTTGCAGCACGGAACATAATCCAAAGGTACCTTCCCATGTCCACAAGCGCTATTTCTGAGCCCTGGACTTGGGGAAAACCCACCAAATGTTTATTTACTACCTATATTTTTTATCACTTTTGCTCTGGTTACAAATTGCTTCACGGCAGAGGCGTAGCTAGTGGGGATGGGGGGCAGGGCGCACTGGGCCCCACACCTGGAGGGTGGCTCTTAGCGTGGGGCCTGGCCTGCAGCATGCCCAAGCCACGTGTCTCTCCTGGGAGTGACACGGTGGCTCAGACGGCTGCAGGCTCCGTGCTGCCTGAAACGGCAGCATGGGGCTGACATCCACCTGCCTCCTCCGTCTCAGCTGTAGGGCTTCGCCGCTGCTTCAAGGCTTCGTGGAATTTGCTGCCAAGGAGTGTGGTGGAGTCTCCTTCTTTGGAGGTCTTTAAGCAGAGGCTTGACAACTATATGTCAGGAGTGCTCTGATGGTGTTTCCTGCTTGGCAGGGGGTTGGACTCGATGGCCCTTGTGGTCTCTTCCAACTCTATGATTCTATGATTCGTAGTGGGAAGCGATATATAAATTTAATAAACCTAAATCTAAGAGCTCCTCCATCTTGAGGTGTTTCCCCCCCCCTCCCTATCGAAGAACACTTACAGATAACTACTACAGGAGTAGCTTTTGCCTCAATGTGCATCAGTGCACCAGGACTTTGTCCAGCAATGGTAGCGATGGCATGCCAAGCATTTGGGTTAGGGGGGCGGTTTCTGAACCCTTGCATAGTGCAAGGCCTGGGTTTAGCAAGCCCCCTTGGGAGGCCTTTCTAGACCTTTTCAAGACTCTAGAAAGCCTCCTCTACTTTCTCCAAATTTGCAGGTGTGCTGAAAACCTCTACTACTGAAATGTGATTATATCCATCACTAATAGAAGAGAGGAAGGGGCAGTCTACTTGAAAACAAGAGCATATACAGAGCTCAGGCAGGGAACATGACTGTGGTATAGTTTGGTGCAGCGACTTCCAGTTTAACAAGGAAGCAAATCATACAATGTCTTCTTGAGATTTTCCTGAAGCTTGCAGGAGTGGGAAGAGGCTCAGAGTACAGAAGACCTCAATTTTCAAATCTGGAAAATTTAATAAAGAAAAGTCTACATCATATGAGTTCTGTCACTTGCAGAAACACACGATAATTTGCATTTCTGCAGGATAGGGTGAATATCCCTTCTTAAGTGAGTTCCATGATTGTGTTTTAATTTGTTTGTTTTGCATATTTGCTACTAATGTATATATTCTGCATCTCTCTCTCTCACTATATATATATATTTAAAGATTGTTTTTGTATAGTATTTTTGAAAAAGCAACTCAGTGTAAAATCCATGTTTCGAAAAAGAAAAGAAATGCATGATATTCATGACTCTGAGGCTGAATCTGCATGTTATCTCTGCAGTATGGATGCTACAGAACCACGGCTCCACAAGTGGCTACCGTGTTGCCATGGTAATATATAAAAGCACACAATTCCATATATTGCCTAGATCACATGGGCATTACTGTACCAGCATCTATCTGTCCACCACAGACAGGCCACTGCTGCAAGCATTACCCAAGTGTTCTAGGTAAACGATATGACCAAACTCTTCAGTACGTAACTAATGTAATGTAGAAGGAGAAAGCGGTTGTTGTTTTTTTTGTTTTGTTTTTTTGCTGCAGCAGCCACACCACAGAGACCCTGTGTAAAATGATTCAGATAAATTCTGCAGCAAGTGATGTGTGACTGCTTTGCACGATTGGAATCCATGAATCTCTAGCAGGGCTAGCCTTGCATAAATATTATACGCTTTGTTTAGACTTAGTTTAGTGCATAAAAAGACAAGAAACTCAAGGCGAGTGATGCACTGAACGGTTTTGAACAGATCCCAGGCTATGAAGAAACTAACTCGGGGAACCCAAGGTGGTTAGATTAGGTTGTCTGTAGGTTTTGGAAGAGCAGCTTCTTTGTTCCACGTAACAAACATACCTTTAAAACCTAGGGGAATTGTGGAAGCAATCGGTGATGTGGCAGGAGGGAAGCGTGGCAGGGCAGGGGCGGTTTCTAAAAATGTTTACTGGGCCAGCTCAAGTCTGTTGCATCAGCCCACACAGGGAAATGGCCTTTGTATACATTATTACCGTTTTAAAAATTCAAATTTGACTGAAATGGAATCTCTAAGGAAGGAAATAACTTGAAGGGGAGGGGAGAATCTGTGTTGACAAGACATGTCAAGGGACAAGACAAGGGAGTTAGTTAATTACTCAGTTGTGGATCATATCCAATATTCTTTCACCCTTGAATGATAGCTGGACATCGCAGCAAAGTTGGTCCAACCATCAATTTTGCTTATCCCTGCCCCTTTGCTCCTGGAGGACAGTCTGCTTTCTTTATAAATAAAAAACAAAATCACATAATGGACATTATTCTTTCTTTCTATTTAAGGAAATATGTTTCCCAAAGTGAAAAAACAACAAAATTGCTCCAGGGAAAAGGGAAAGGGATTGATGTCTCTCCTTGTGACATCATGGGATTCAGCCAATCAAACTGTCCATAACTTATTTTTGTCACAAACGTAGAGAGCTGTTTGGCCACTTCAGAGATCAGCCCCTAGAAATTAAAGGTACATTTGGACAAAACGACCGCACTACTCTAAAAATGTTACATCTGTCTCTACCCCCTTGTTTCAGTTAACTTTCATACGGGTAATAAATTAGATGTTTTGTTTAAAGCGTTTGATTAGATTTGAATGACAGAAGGGGAGAAGTGAGTTCAGCAAATATTCTCATGAAGACTGGGAGCTATGATTAGTAGTTCCAATGGTCCCACGCTGCGCCCCTGAAATATTTTACCAACACTCTTTCCAGTCTTCATATGATACCGTATTTTTCGCTCCATAAGACACACTTTTTCCCTCTTAAAATCTAAGGGGAAATGTCTGCGCATCTTATGGAGCGAATGCGTGGTCCATGGGGCGGGGGGGGGGGGCGGGGCGGGAATCCGGGCTTCCCCTGCCAGCCCCGACCTGCTCTTTGAGGCTGGCCATGGGGGAAAGCAGAGCTTCCCCCACTGCCAGCCCCACAAGCTCATGGAGCAGCGGGAAGGCTGCACGCCTTTCGGCTGCTCCCTGACCTGCTCTTTGAGGCTGGCAGTGGGGGAAAGCAGAACTCCCGCTGCGCTCCGGAGGCTTCAGGTTGCCTTCAAAACAAGGTGCGTCTTATGGTCAGGTGTGTCCTATGGAGCGAAAAATACGGTAATCCCAAAAACCAGAAGCCGCAGGCTACAAAACTTGACCTGCTTAGAAAATGAAAACTGATATTTTGAAATGTCAAACAGAACTTTTGCAAGAACAGACTTAAAAAGTCATGATGTGATCATTGCCATTGAATAGTCTGGAATTTATTCTAAGCCTCAGTCAAACGAAAGAGACCCTGAGCTACAAGTACAGCTCAGAAAGAAGTTGTGGTCAAATATTTAAATATCCATCAATACTGTGCATACCAAGAGGAAGTAACACTGTGGGGAGAAATCATATTTATAACTCTTTGCTTCTTTGGCAGATGTGCTTGTAAAGAAGGAATTGTGGGCTTTAGAAATATATATATAAGTAATTTGTAGCACAGTTAAATGAACAGTCAATTTGCTTTTGGGAAATAACGGTAAGAGACACCTCTGTATCTCTATGGAACCCCACCAAGAAGTCATTCTTAAGAAGCACCATGCAAAGGAAAATTAAGCATATTTAGAATTACAGTGGTGCCCCGCAAGACGAATGCCTCACAAGACGAAAAACTCGCTAGACGAAAGGGTTTTCCGTTTTTTGAGTCGTTCCGCAAGACGAATTTCCCTATGGGCTTGCTTCGCAAGATGAAACGTCTTGCGAGTTTGTTTCCTTTTTCTTAAAGCCGCTAAGCCGTTAATAGCCACTAAGCCGTTAATAGCCGCTAAGCCGCTAATAGCCATGCTTCGCAAGACGAAAAAACTGCAAGACGAAGAGACTCGCGGAACGGATTAATTTCGTCTTGCGAGGCACCACTGTATGTGCTATGTACTGTATACGTAGAAATATTTTTTTGAAATCTAATACAAGGAGATCTTTTCTGTCATTGATGCCTATGAGATGCAAGTAGGGAGTCTGTTAGCAAACTGGGCATGAATGAAAGACAAGATGACATTTTAAAAAATAGGATTTTTATCTATTAATACTGGCTACAGCAAAGCATGCCAACTTCACTTTACTTTGAGACAGAGGTCATGCAGGCTCCTTCCATATACATCATTGAAATGTGCTGCACAGCAACCATTTAAGGTCTTGCTTCTTCATCGAAAAATATAATTGCCTTTTTGTAAAATGGCAAAATAGAATTATGCACAAAAGCAGTATTAGCAGTGGCAAGATGCTGCCGAGAACTTAGTTGCATATGCTATGTTGCTTTCCCCATAAAACAGATGTGCAACAAAAGCATCTTGTGTACCAAAGAGAACATGACCATGTATGTTACCAGGATAATCCACCTCCGGGAAAGGAGACAAGACACTTATCATTTTTTGTGCTTAACACTCATGCGAAGCTTCAGGGAATTCCAATTGTATAAAGACTTATGAGAAAATGAGACAAAAGTGTGAAGCCATGGGAAGAGATGGTATATTTATCACAGCATTAGGCATTGAGAATACGACCTCGGCTTCATTTGCCAAGGTTGTTACAAAACCAGCCAGTCTCCTTTCAACTTGACCACACAATAGTCCCCACCCCACCCCCAAAGTTAAAACATGTCCTAGTTGATCACTTTCCTTTACAATCCATTTAGGGTTTCTCTCTTTTCTCTTAAATAATAATAATACACTTTCTTCGTTATTTATAATATGAACAAAATCCTAGCGCTTTAAAAATCTGCCCCCGACAAACGTCTAAGAATACATATTTTAAAATGACTTAAATGTACAACTTCACATTGGTGTGTTTTTTTTAAGGCATGAACAATGGCGAATGAATGAGGAGAGCTTCCAGAAAAGCATTATGCCTTTTTTCGACGTGGCCAGTCCAAGCACATCACACATCAAGAAACTAACCCGAAGCTAGAAATGAACAAGTATTGCGACTCAAGGTTTAATAATAGCATGGGTGGACATTCTAGACATGTTCCATTAAAACAAATCTTGTTTTGTTTTTGTATCTTTTCTGTTGTCTATTTTAAGCACCAGATACTCTTTGAAAGCATCTTTGGCTAACTCAGTGCATGCTTTTCTTGCGCTGCATTTCCCTTATCTCAATATTTAAAGGGCGTGTTGGTTCCCCCTCCATTTAATTTAATGCCAGCTGCAGAAATGTCCAGGGTCTGGGCTAATGCACTTTTGGAAGTCCATTTATAAAGATGAATATAAAAGCAAATGAAAGGTTTCTTGCAGGCCCACAAACCAACCTCAGCTATAAGAAACATGTTGTGCATAGGTTTTTTTAAAGGTTTTTCTTTTTCTTTTTTTTAAGGAGTGATATGTTACTAGATCTACATTCTCAGTTTACCAGAGTTTGAGGGTTTCTACTTTACTAAAGCCAGGATCCTTTCGGAGTTCCCAATACGTGTCGTTAGAAACCCAAGCTTCTCTTTGATTGGCATCGATAACTTTTCTGCAAAATCAAAAGAAAAATACACACCTGTTAGACAAAATAAATTCAGGAGTACCTTTAACAAGGACCGAATTATACTCCCTTGCGACTCGGCACCTGCGGAGTCCTTTATAAGAAGCAAAAATCCCATCAACCAGTTGTTTGGTAAGGAAGAGGGAACAGAGGGGTTGAATTCAGCCCACAAAATGACAGGCAGTATTTCGGCTTTTAAAAAATTTCCTATTGGACATCAGGTGTGGGGCAGGTAAGGCTGGAGCCATGAATGAAGTGGAACCATAACACAAGCTCCCGATTGTACCGTTATAAATGGCAGTCTCTATGAGTGCTAGTCGGGACGCGGGTGGCGCTGTGGGTTAAAGCCTCAGCGCCTAGGACTTGCCGATCGAAAGGTCGGCGGTTCGAATCCCTGCGGCGGGGTGCGCTCCCGCTGCTCGGTCCCAGCGCCTGCCAACCTAGCAGTTCGAAAGCACCCCCGGGTGCAAGTAGATAAATAGGGACCGCTTACTAGCGGGAAGGTAAACGGCGTTCCGTGTGCTGCGCTGGCTCGCCAGATGCAGCTTGTCACGCTGGCCACGTGACCCGGAAGTGTCTCCGGACAGTGCTGGCCCCCGGCCTATAGAGTGAGATGGGCGCACAACCCTAGAGTCTGGCAAGACTGGCCCGTACGGGCAGGGGTACCTTTACCTTTACCTTATGAGTGCTAGTCAGGTGATGTCAACCTGAACATTACCTCACACCAGAAGTCCCAGCCAAACAGGGCTTATAATCAAATTTTGTTTTTGTTTCTTGGGGGTTTTTTCAAAAAAAAAATCTCTCAGCCTGCGCAATGAGAAGAAACAGACATTTTCCACATAAATGCATTTTTCCAATGCTGAAAATGAAACTGTCTCAACAACTCATGGAAATATTTCTGTAAAAAGTTAATTGTGATAACAATGGGTGGTATTCCACTAAGCTTTGCTCGGGGTAAACCCACTGAAGTTAATGACCATTATGAAGTTAAATGTCCATTAATTTCAATGGGTCTACTTTGAGTAAACCTTAGTTTACTCATAACCTTTACAAGCTGCCAACTCCTCAACCCAGTTTCAACTATTTAAATTTTCCCACTCTGTTACCAGGCTGGTGGTGTATCTGTTAGCGGGGGGGGGGGGGGGACAAACCACATTCCTGAGTTTACATACTTAAAAAATTTTGGTACATGTTCCATATTATTTTCTTCTAAGTAGCGTCTTCGACTTCTCTGGAGTTCTTCTATTCTTAGTTTTTCTGACGCTGCTGCTTCTAAATCCCCGTCTTCCAAAAGCCTGCAATAAAGCAAGTGGAACTTCGAATATACAGGATACCAACATTCAAGCACTGGAACGAATCAACAAAACCCCGGAGATGCCAAACCTACACCCATCAAGAGTTGCTGGATCCGTACCATCCAGATACTGCAGTTCAGATAAAATGAGCAGGGATGAGAGCCAATTAATTAAACAAATCTTTAATTATTAAGCATGTGAGTTTTAGATGATTGTTTGTATACTGACTTGCTGATTAAACTAAATTAATATTAGTTTTTTAAAAGCACACAATTGTTTTCAACAAGCAGCATGCTTATTTTGTTTTATGCAAACCCCATGCCAATCTTAAAAGAGTCAGTTCCTCTTGGGAGTGAAGAGCAATGCCTCTGCTAAGACAGCAGCTGCCCAATGTAACTTTTATAGCTACTTGAATCATAAACAAACCAACCTTCCTGATTAGTGTGGGGCAGACCCTTAGTTGATCAAAGGTTTTTTTAAGCAAGTCATGTTACAAAGTGATGGACTAAACTAGGAGTGGGGAACTTCAGGTCCAAGGGTCACAAGTGGCCACCATGTGTCTCTCTGTCCAGCCTTTGGGACTCTGCACAGGTGACACCCTTTCACTGGCCCTGCTCTGCAGCCTCCCTGGGTGTTTTTGCCTGGCTGAAACGTGTCCTTGTACTGCAATAGTGCCTCTTACTTACCAGGTTTACTTGTGTGTAAACCTCTATCAGGGCCGGTGTTGGGAGCAGGCCAGCAATAACTCGCAAGGCGTCAGTGGAGTTAACTCTTTGTTCAAATAAACAACAGCTCAGGCCTAGTGAGCACAGCAACTCTTCCCAGCAGATCTTGCCCCAATGAGGCAGTTGCGAGGACTGAAGGGCCATGCCTTCCCAGTGCTCCCCAAGACTCTTCCTCCCTTGGGCCCTTCCCTAGCAATCTGAGACTCTGACACCTTGTCTGTTTTTGCTCCACCCTCTTCATTCTTCTTCTGGTTCTGGGAGACCAGGAGGGAGGGGAGCTGGTCACCGCAGGAGAGGGAGACCCCCTGGCTTCTTCAACCGCCTGATTCATCTCTGCCTCCTCCCCTACTCTCCAGCCTCTTCTGCCTCTGATTCTGGACTGCTCTCTGCCACAGCCTCTTCCTGCTCACTAAAACCTGTTACCTTCAGCTTACAACACCTCCTCATTCCAGTCTTCTCCTTCTGACCACTCATCAACATCCCATCACCAGTCCCCTGGCTCTGAGCCTTCTTCCCTTGGGGGTTCCTGAGATAGTGGCTCCCACCACTCCTTTGCATCCAGTCAGTCCATGGCAACCTCTTATTTTTTGCTTGGCTGGAAAGTAGCCTACAGTACAAATTTAAAAGCTGCACCTTTTGTGCCTGGATAAACTCACCCACCACTGAGTCCCTGGTAAATGGCCCACATGCTAACGAAGCTTCCCCACCCCTGGACTAAACATTGGGGTCCTGAAATCAAATCTATGTTTGAAAGCAGCCGCTGAGCATTAAACAACAACAACCAAGTGATTCTTGCCTTTGGTCTGGCCTGAATCGGGCATCTGTTCTTGGAAGAAGATCTTTCAGTGCAGGATCTAACTCATTCAGCTCAATGGCAAACCTTGTGAAGCCATAATAACGCTCGTAGTTGGTGGGCATGGAGCCTGCATTAACAGATAAGACAAAGTGAGTAGCTAGGCATTGTGAACGAAGAAGACATAGTCCTCTGAATAGAGAAGGTCAAAATCCCTGCTTGCAGCTCCTGAAGTTGGCTCTAACTACTGGTGATAAACTGACACTGGTCAAACGTCACGCAAGCACTGCCAAAAGACAGTCAGCACCTCTCACAGTTCTAATCACTGTCTGTGGGGTGGACTAAGGCTTGCTCTACGTGCCACTGAGCTGCCACCTGAGGTGGTGCCTTCTACATATCTTGCTGCCATTATACACAGTGCCTGGGCATCCCAGAGTTCTTCTGCCTCATTCAGAGCCTTTCAACACCAGCATCCCCTCACTCCCAGAGGAGAGTCGTACCAGTCTGAAAACTTGGCCTGCTGGGAGAAAATTCATGGAACAAACACTTTTACACCGTGAGCATGATACTGCTTCAAGTAGCCTCCACCTGGGGAAAATTTAAGTTTGATCCAGGCCAATAGATGGCCCAGCTGTTAAAACAGAGAGTACTGAAGCATCTATTAGGGAGAGGAGAATACCTGTGAGCTGCATATGAAGATGTCCTTGGCCACTGGTCCAGTGTTGTGTACTCTGGCAAAGGTTCTCTGACCTTTCATACCCCTCTTACCAGAGATTTTTAGAGGTCTCATTGCTGGGGTCTGAAGCTCAGGCCTGATGTGATAGCTCAATTGGTGCTGATAACCCCAAGGTTGCAGGTTCAATCCCTATGTGGGATAGCTGCATATTCCTGCATTGCAGGGGGTTGGACTAGAGGATCTTCAGGGCCCCCTTCCAACTTTACATTTCTATTATTTTATGTGGCCTAGCACGGAGGAATGGCTCTTTCCTGCACCTGCCACTGTGGTGAGACAGTCTGTAAACCAGAGCTGGGTTTATTTCTCCAAGTAACAGTTCTGAAAAGGCAACTGGTATTCTTTGTAAATTAGGAACAACCGATACACCAGAGCTTCCATTTTCAAATCAGGTGGTCCTATTATTGCTGTGACAAAAAATGCTTATTGGAGACCAGTAAACGAGTACAGTGGTACCTCAGGTTACAAACTTAATTTGTTCCAGAGGTCCGTTCTTAACCTGAGGCGTGCTTTCGTTAATGGGGCCTCCTGCTGCCACCACATAACTTCTGTTCTCATCCTGGGGCATAGTTTGCCACCTGAGGTACTACTTCTGGGTTAGCGGAGTTTGTAACCTGAAGTGTTTGTAACCCGAAGCGTTTGTAACCTGAGGTACCACTGTAATTAGAAATCCCCAACTGTTTATCTTTCAAAGAGGAAGTATGCAGTATTTTGTAGTGCGAATACTTCCAGCCTTGCCATGTCTACTTTTGTCATTGGGTTTGCAGTGCATGGGGAGATTTATCTCTCCCTGCCTCTGCCAAGCCACCAGCATGGTTACTGTGCACAGAAAACGGTTTCTATTGGTGCCAGTGAGAGTCTTTAAGCCTTGCAGCTGCTAGGAGGAGATTTTCAGGAGATTTTGTGACTGGAAGAAAGGGATAAATCTCGCCCCCATACATCCTGCAATCCCAGTGACACCGGCTCCCTGCACTTGTAATTAAATGAAAACAAGAGATGTAGCGCATGAAGCATAGCCTGCAGCTTGGCCCCTTCGGTCTATCTCAAGCAGGCTTCCTCAAACTCAGCCCTCCAGATGTTTTGAGGCTACAATTCCCATCATCCCTGACCACTGGTCCTGCTAGCTAGGGATCATGGGAGTTGTAGGCCAGAAACATCTGGGGGGCCGAGTTTGAGGAAGGCTGAACTAGAGCCATTCCAGTCTGCCATACTTGATACGATGATGAAGTTCCTTCACCCATAGTGCAAGTATTGAATCCACCCACACCTAAAAGAGCTGTTCCTCTAATAGGTTCATACCTGGTCTCCATATACATTTTGCCGAAGGCCCAACTCCACAGTACAACCCTTCATGCCACTTTCCAAAGAGGCGGTGTACCACCTTTCCTTCTTGGTCCATGACAACGCCTTGGACTTCATTCACATTCGAATTCCAGTAATTCACCTAAAAAAATAATAATGCAAGGAAACAAAAGATCTGTGGCCTTTTTCTTAACTCTTAACCACCTCCACCCCTTATCGTACTGTGCCAAATATCTTCAAATGCAGTCCCAAAGAGGTGCAGAGGATAAAGACCTTGCCAATGCAATTAGCATGTCCGCTGGCAACCAGTGAAAGGGTCTTATATTTATCGCCCACACTTTGGTGCACAGATTCATACAATTGGTACCTCCAGCTAATGAACCTGCCCTGTGTGCTCCCAGAGGCTGCTGTGCAACGGGCCACCAATTGCACAAACACCCTTTTCACTGTTCATAATGAGTTTCAAAGAAACGTTACCTTGATGAATGTGAGTTTACAAATACAAACGCTGCTTTTTGTGTTTCTGATGGTTATTTCTCCATAATGTTCTATCCATCTCCTTCCACTGAGGATGTTGTGTATGCAAGTAGTGACTTTGTTCCATACGTAGGAATCACCGTACCTGCAAAGAGAGTTAGCTGTGGAAACTGTGCTCCAAAAATGCCCTTTCCAAACCACAAATGAAACAGTACTCCCCCTTCCAATATTGAAAGCCAATGGACCACCAACAGAACTCAAATATGAAAATACCCACACTTTTTACATGTATTTGTGTCCTGCTAGGGGCATAGCTGTCAACGTTTCCTCTTTTTAAAGGGAAATTCCCTTATTCCGAATAGGATTCCTCGCAAGAAAAGGGAAAAGTTGACAGCTATGGCTAGGGGTTGAATTGCAAATCAATTAGAACAATAAATAATTTAAAACCAGTTTTTAAAAAAGGTAATAAAGCAAAAGCACAACAATAAAATAAGAACAAAACAGCAGTGCAGAATGGGCAGCAATCATAAACACCATCCCCACTGATTTCCAAAGCCACCAAAGGCCTGGGTAAATAAAGATATTTAAAACTTATTTCTAAAACATAAGGAAGTTTGAGTGCCTGACAAATGTGCCAGAGGGAAGGGCCTTCCACAGCCAGGGTGCCAATTCTAAGAAGGCTTTGCTTCTAGTAGCCATATATCTATTGCACTTTTGAAGGTGGAGGCGAAAGGAATAGGGTGTCCAGAGAAATGGCAGTCCCCCCCCCCTGGTGCTTAACCATTGGTTATTGGTTATTCTCACAGACAGACAGTCAACTCTGTCCCACTACAGACACTTAATGCTCTGTGAAACATTACAGCCCTCTATAATGAAGATACGTTTTGGATAATATTATTCTAAAACAATCTTTTTATGTTGTAAGCTGTGATCTCTGGATGAAGGGCAGTATATAAATTTCATTATTATTATTATTATTATTATTATTATTATTATTATTATTATTATTTCTTCTGCCAGACATCATAGTATGTGTTTTCCTACTATGGTTACATTGGTTCCGCACAGTATTATATAAAAAAACCTGTTTTGTCCTCAAAATAACTCTATTAAGTAGATTAGGCTGAGAAATTGCGAGTTGCCCAAAGCCCCACATTGAGCTTCATGGTTCATTATAGTTTTGAACCCAGTTCTCCCCAACTTTTAAGCCCATTACGCTGTTCATTCCACCGGACTGGTTCTGAATGAAACAAGATGAGATGAGCAGAGAAACTGCAGGATTAGCTGACCAGCTGCAAAGAAACTTCAGGAGGTACACATTGCAGGATAGTAATACTATCCCAAGCTTCCTTGCACTGAAACAGGACTCACCCTTATCTGCCACACTCTATAGGCAAGAGTTCATGTCATTGTGAAACCTCATATTTTACAAGAACACACCTCACTTTAAGTGACCATGATGCCTCTCACCTTTATCCTCCTAGGGGAAATCCGAACAATTTTTACAGGGGGGAAAAATGGAATATGCTTCCTTTTACTGTGCAAAGCAAACACTCGCAGTACTAAAACGTCTCCCACTCAGGAAGCTGCTGTGAATTAACTGGCCTAATGTTCACAACTGTTTGATCAAACATAGTTGCAGCATCTAGTAATAGCAGGTAGAGCAAGTAATTATTCAGAGATCCCAGTTGCCTTATCACGACACGCAAGCTGCTGCTATGTGTTCCCTGCCTTGTCTGGCTTCAGTTTTGCTACATTATTCATCAGTGTGCATCTGGGACTTCAAGTGCCTAAATTAGTCTCATGGAACTGCTTTTCCAGGATGAAGAAGAAACAAACAAACAAACAAACAAACAAACAAACAGGAAAAGAAGAATGGAGAAGCTGCTTACTTTGGAAGCGTGACATTCAGTGTCCCGATTGGCAGTATTTCCATTGACTTGCCCCAGAATTTGTTTTTCCACCTGATATCTGAATAACATAGCAAAGATTCAGAAAGCTGCAAGTTACAGAAGTTCTACAAATGCAACGAACCATTATTTCTCTTTGTTTAATACGAAACTGGAAGACCTAAAACAGCAGGCTTCCCAATTATATTAACCTTTTCGTTAAATTCCACAAAAATGAAACTATGCATGTAATTGTAAGTTTTCTTTTTTTAAAACAAAAACAGAACTAAATTTGGTCTTTAGGCTTGTGAATTAAAATGTATACCTTGCCAAAACACAAAATTCTTTGATTCACAGTGACAGGCAGAAATGGGTGGGTGGTGGCTAACCTGAAATAAAAAATTACGGTGGTGAGGAATTGTGCAAAAGACTTTCATTTTTATCATCACTGTAAACAGACACCTTACATAAAAGAGAGATGATGCAGCAGCAGAAAAAGCTGCTGCTATTCTAGGCTGCATCAACAGAAGTATAGTGTCCCGATCAAGGGAAGTCATAGTACCGCTCTATTTTGCCTTGATCAGACCCCACCAGTAATATTGTGTGCATTTCTGGGCACCACAATTTAAGAAGGATATTGACAAGCTGGAACTTGTGCAGAGGTGAGTGTCCATGATGATCAAGACTCTGGAAACCTACCCTTAGGAGGAACAGTTGAGAGAGTTTAGTCTGGAAAAGAGGAGACTGAGAGGAGATATGATAGCCATCTTCAATTATCTGAAGGGCTGTCACAGGGAAGATGGAGCAAGCCTGTTTTCTTCTGCTCCGAAGGCTAGTATCCGAAGCAACAGATTCAAGTTACAAAAAAGGAGATTCCAACAAAACATCAGGAAGAACTTTCTGACAGGAAGAGCTGTTCAATAGAAACAGATCCCACAAGAGATGGTGGACTCTCCTTCCTTGGAAGTTTTAAAGCAGAGATTGGATGGTGATGTGTCAAGTAGGATCTAGTTGAGATTCCTGCATAGAATCATAGAAATATAGAACTGGAAGGGACCCTTAGGATCATCTAGTTCAGGCATCCCCAAACTCGGCCCTCTAGATGTTTTGGAACCACAACTCCCATCATCCCTAGCTAACAGGACCAGTGGTGAGGGATGATGGGAACTGTAGTCCCAAAACATCTGGAGGCCTGATCTAGTTCAACCCCCTGCAATGCAGGGATATGCAGCTGTCCCATATGGGGATCGAACCTGCGGCCAGAAACTTGGACCATTGCAGGGGGCTGGGCCATCAGGGTCCCTTCCAGCTCCACAGTTCTAGGATTCTATGATTTCTGCAAAACTGGATTCAGCTTTACAATGCTGAATTGCACCTAATGCTTGAAAAATAAATATATATCTTCAGATCTATTTTAAAAGCTATATATTTAGATTCATATCAGCCAACATTCTGAAAATAAGATGAAATGCATCAACCAAAATAAACAAATAAATCACAAATTAAAGTCGCGGTGCTATTTAAGGGTCTCTTTTGGAACAGATTTTACCTGCTCCGAGAAAAAACGAAATCCTTTGTCTTCCCTAATCGATTCGTAAGTTTCACCAAGCACAGGGTTAAAAGGCTTGCTTCCAGCTCTGTAGTAAGTGGAGGCATATCCTGAAGTTGCAAAGGCAGCAATAAGGACCTAGTTAAAACAAAGGGGAAAAACGTGAGAAACAATATCTAAACAGTACTGGAGAGACTGTGCAAGCAAACGGGTGTTTCCTTTTCAGGGTGATGGCAGCACCTTTGGCGTTAGTGCTACAACTGCAGGCAGCAACTCTGTTCTTGCAATAGCAGTATAGCCACTGTCCCAACATAATAAAGGACAGGGAAAGTCATTCTCCAAGTGGTGGGAAGGTAGGAACGCGAATAATATCCATGCGAATCTGTTCCCAAGGCAAACAGTATCCGAAGCAAGCTTAAAGATGAAGAATATATTTGCTATTTTTGTCTTGGGATCAGAGGCAATTGTGTGGGGAAAGAAAGGATGTGGATGTGCGATCTGGAAAGCCCTTAATGGCGAAACATGGGGTTTTTTTGTGTGACACAAGAATCTACCGGGGGGGGGGCTAGCACTCCCCTTTTTGCGTTTCCAGTTTGCATCCTCCCACCTTTTCCATATAAGCAATTATACTCTAGCTCGATATCCTGAGGATTTTTATTTGGGTTTTATTAGGCACCATCCTCAGGTGCTGACAAAAAAAATAACACCAGTTAGTCGGTGTTAGAAGGGGGGCAGAAATGGATGTGTCTTATGCAATTAGAGAAAGCAAAGAGTACTTTCAGATCTCTGGAGAATTGTCATCTCTACAAGCCTATTGAGAATCATCTCATATTACAATTTGGTCTGTTTCGCAGACCCGGAAAGTGGAGCACCACTCCTGTGTATAGGAATATAATGGAAGCAGTCCGCCCGGAATCCCCCCCCCCCAATTCATGCCATCTTGAAAGTTGTCTTGAGCAAAAGCATTCCTAGCGGGGCTTGCAGAGTGGAATTCCCCAGCGATTTGCACATTGCCAGAATATAGGGCATTATCTGCCTTGCACAGAAAAGGGTAATATAGGGATGTGGCTACAGCTTTGGAATTCACAAGTCTGACAAAATAGATACACCGACAAGTGAGTGATCACTCTCTGCAACAGAGGCTCTAGTGTGTTGTTTTTTTTGCTTTTTTAAACTACTTATTTCCCTTTAGAATCGCTCAAGAGGCTTATACCAAGTGCCTTCTCTTGCATTACCTTAGCGGTGTGGCCGCTACGGTAGCATCACTCCTTTCCACACTACGAAGGCAACGTCAGAAGTTTCAAACCACGTAGTGCCTGAGACTCTTAATCTCAGGGTTGCGGGTTCAAGCCACAAATTGGGCAAAATGTGGGTTCCTGCACTGCAGGGGCTTGGACCAGATGACCTTTGCGGTCCCTTGTAGCATCCTTAGATTATTTCATCATACTAGTATTGTCCCGTTTGGAAAGCAAGGCAATGGGGGGGGGAGGGGGGAGGAAACACAATATGGGCTCTTCCCACATGATCTGGGTCTCCTGGCAAAAGGATGTCCGTGAGCAGCTTCCATACCGCAAAGGTAATGTGAGGCTGGACCCTAAGACTCACTACAACATGTATGCAAGTTCATTCATCCGAATTTATACTGCTCCTGCAAGGCTCCACTTATGTGAGCAGTTATCTGCAGAGATATAGCCAGCCAAGGACCATCTGAACTGGTTGCCAACGAAAGGAACAGGCTGGATAAAAAGTAAAAAAAATCCTCTATGTCAGAATCTAGCTGCTTTCACGTTAGAGGTGAGCTTACAATAATGGAAAATGCACAAATGTACAGTGGACCCTCTAGTTATGTACCGCTTTGGAGACATAACTTTCGGGTTACGAACGCAGCAAACCCGGAAGTGTATACTTCCTGGTTTCGTGCGTGCATGCGCAGAAGCGCTCTGCACACCGTGCACATGCGCAGAAGCGGTGCCTCTGCCTACGGACTTTTTGGGTTGCGGACAGACCCCCGGAACGAATTTAATTCGTATCCGGAGGGTCCACTGTATTCAATATTAGAGCTCTAGGAGAGGGATAAACACATCAAGGGACATGGAATGATGTGCTGCGTCTGGTTTACTACCATTCGTTCGTAGGGGTCATCAGATTCAGCAGCCTTGTCCAAGAGTTCACTGTATTCCAGTTCCTCACAAAGGTGTTGCAATGTATTCAGAGGCTCGTTTAGCTCTACCGGCATGGATACTTTCGAGAGATCCTTCCCGATATTGTTCCTCAAAATGTTCCACAGGTTGATATTACTAGTATCAGGGCAGGGGGTCGGTAGGCATGTCCTTCGTCCATTTCTGAAAGCACCACCGGTCAGCTCATCATTAAGTACTGGAAGGAAAACAGAAGAACAGCAGGGATGTGAAATCCTTTCATTGACTGAAAAATGAAAAATAAAATGGTTTGTATCCAATGCTAGCTGTACTCAGAGTAAACCCACTGAATTTCATAGGCATGACTAACTTAGGCCTATTCATTTCAAAGGGTCTGTTGTTGTTGTTATAGATTTACTTATACCCCACCTTTTTCCCTGATGGGACTCAAGGCGGTTTACAGATAAAAAGAAGAACCGCTAAAAACATAGGAAAAAACATTGTAAGAAAACAATTATAAACACGGAAAGAATTAAAACTATATACATATAATGAAATCTACTAAAACCATACAAATAATTACAGTAAAAAACAGAAGGAAGAGTGCTATTCTACAGTTAACAGGGATAAAAATGTAAAAGTGGCCCTCACTGATTTGAGTTGCATCCAGAGAGTGTTCCGATTTATATTGCACCACACCTAAAAAGAACACTTATTTTCTAAAACTTAAAAAAAATTAAAACCCTGCATACATTGCCGAGAAATGTTGTCTGCAACACTGGTGTTGTCCTCTGATATGTTGTCACTCACGTCACTGATGTACGACTCATCATCAGAAGCCTAAAGAAGAAAACAAAGAGATTTAAATGAAAAGTAAATGGAAGCAGACGAGGAGGAGGAGGAGGAAGAAGACAACAAATGGAACACTGAATAGAAATGTTTTCATAAATTCAAGTCCCAGTGACGCATGTATCCTAGAGTTGTTATCAGGATGAAGAGTGCCCATTTTGTGAAACCCTGGTTTGGCCAATATCATCCCATTTTTAGCTCGTGCCTAAATGTGTAAGCTCTCCATCTTCCTCTCTGAAGAACAAGCTGTACTGGAAGTGACTGTAGGTCAAAGAGTGTCTGTTCTATTGAATACTGATGACTCATGTAAGCCTATCACTGTCAATATGATATATAGGGGGAACACCTCTAAATCATTCTCTGCAAACACACTTCAAACCATGGTTTTAGAGAAGGGATGGGTAACTTTTTCTGGCACCACAATCACAGGTGGGTAGATGGTTGGGGGCTGCATCCCAGAAAGCATGACCGGAGCCAGTCACACTGCCATACCTTAAACCAACTCATGCTCACAGACAGTCTTGGAAAGACAGGTACCGTATTTTTCACTCTATAAGATGCACTTTTCCCCTCCTAAAAAGTAAGGGGAAATGTGTGTGCGTCTTATGGAGCGAATGCCGGCTGCACTGCAATCTCTCTTGCTGTTCTGGCTTCAGGGATAGCCGCACAAAGCCTCTTCAACAACATTTGATTCAGAATTTTTTTTCCTTGTTTTCTTCCTCTAAAAACTAGGTGCGTCTTACGGGTTGGGTGCGTCCTATAGAGCGAAAAATACGATACATGGGTCGCACATGTATGTCTTATTTCTCCATTTAAATTACCTCCAACCGGCCTCCCAAAGAGCTGTATGCACAGGGAAGCACACACTCAATCATTCATGGGAAGTCAGATGCTTCAGGATACAGTATAACCCCTTTTGAAGAGGAGGAAACAGTTCTCTTCCCTGCTGTCCTGCTGATGGCGGATTACCTGGGCAGTGGGAAGAGTGGGCAAGGTTTTCCCCACAGCTTGGTGGGTTGCAGAGAGAGTAATTGAGGGCCCTATGTGGCCCACCCCTGTTTTAAGGAAAGAAAAACAAATTTTCTTGCCAGGGCAAACGAAAAAACAGTAAGCGAAGGAACAGGGTGGGGGCGTCAAAACTGAGCTACTAATTTACTTCCGTCCAAAGAAGAGAAGATGGGGGAAATAAAATGGTAGCGATTTACGTGTCACTCATTCCACAACACTGCTGCCTGCTTTTGACAGGAGGAAGGCGGAGCAAATGGGTCACGAATTGCTGCCTCTGGCCATGATCTCAAGGCAATTAAGTGGCAAGCAGCTCCTTTACTCCAGATTAACCCGACAAAAATCAGTGGGACTACTCTTGCAACTGTCAGATTGTTCTAAGAGCTTCACCTAATTCTTAGGACTTTGTGTGATAGGTTAGGATTTTTATCCTCATATTTCATTTTGAGATAGTGTCTTGCCTACGGTCAACAACTTAACCTCATAGTGGAGATGTGATTTGAACCAGGAGACTGCTGTGTCCATGTCCAAGCCTTCCGAATTAGGATCAAAAGTTCGGTAAAGGTAAAGGGACCCCTGACCTTTAGGTCCAGTTGTGGCTGACTCTGGGGTTGCGGCACTCATCTTGCTTTATTGACCGAGGGAGCCGGCGTACAGTTTCTGGGTCATGTGGCCAGCATGACTAAGCCGCTTCTGGCAAACCAGAGCAGCGCACGGAAACACCGTTTACCTTCCTGCTGGAGCGGTACCTATTTATCTGTTTAATTTTACAGACCCTTTAAAAAGGTAAAGGGACCCCGACCATTAGGTCCAGTCGTGACTGACTCTGGGGTTGCGGTGCTCATCTCGCTTTATTGGCCGAGGGAGCCGGCGTATAGCTTCCGGGTCATGTGGCCAGATGACTAAGCCGCTTCTGGCGAAACCAGAGCAGTGCACGGAAACGCCGTTTACCTTCCCGCTGGAGCGGTACCTATTTATCTACTTGCACTTTGAGGTGCTTTCGAACTGCTAGGTTGGCAGGAGCAGGGACCAAGCAACGGGAGCTCACCCTGTTGTGGGATTCGAACCACCGACCTTTTGATTGGCAGGCCTAAGGCTCAGTGGTTTGGACCACAGTGCCACCTGCGTCCCCAAAAGTTCGGTACTTGATCCCAAATGCATTATAATTATATAGAGCACAGCAGAAAAAATAATCAGGCTTTCACTGCCTAACCTCGTTTTCTGATGAGCTTGCAGACAGAAGCACCTCCTGCGCATCGAAGAACTCAGAGACAGATTCCGACATGGAGAGCCTGCTTTCATTAGAAACTTGCTGGGAGAGTGGGAGACTAACATGGATCTGTTCACCTGCCTGCAAAAAGGGAAAAACACACACATATGAACTCCAGATGCCCACACATGACAGAGAAAAAGGAAGGGCATGCCTAATCAATATATTTTATTGGACAGATGCCCTGCTTCTTCCCTGCATGGCCTCTCCTTCCTGCCGGTTTGGAAAATAAGCTCTAGCAAACGGAAAGCTCAGGTTGAAAAGAAGCCATTTTGCAAGGGGAGCGCAAACAACTTATTTTCCAGCTAGCACTCTCGTAACTCTTTTTTTGTGTGGCAGGGGACAGAGAGAAATGCCTTCTCTCAAGATTGTTCCTCTGCTACAGGAAAACCCAGCATCTTCCAGCACTGAAATGATACCTTGTGTTTGATGGGGAAGGGAGGCCCAACCCTCACCTGACACACTTCAGCTTCAGGCATGTTGTATGACTGCTTTAGCACAATGCTCTCATGTCCTGAAGCCTGATCTTGTTTGTTTGCTGAGATCCAGCGCCGAGGGCCTTCTGGCGGTTCCCTCACTGCGAGAAGTGAGGCTACAGGGAACCAGACAGAGGGCCTTCTCGGTAGTGGCGCCCGCCCTGTGGAACGCCCTCCCATCAGATGTCAAAGAGATAAATAATTACCTGATATTCAGAAGACATCTTAAGGCAGCCCTGTTCAGGGAAGTTTTTAACATGTAACACTGTACTGTTTTTAACACTGATTGGGAGCCGCCCAGAGTGGCTGGGGAAACTCAGCCAGATGGGCGGGGTATAAATAATAAATTATTATTATTATTATTATATGCGCACACACAGGGTGGCCTGCAGCAAAATGTTGCCGCTCATCATCTCCTATTAAAAGGAATGTTCTTGTTCCTGTTTCGAACCATTCCTTCCTTCCCAACCTAGCATTCTACTGCGTCCTAGTTTTGTTTTTGTTTTTTTTGTTTGTTTTTTTGCAACTGTCTCTACCTTTTGTGGATACTGAACATGCTCAGTGTTCGCCAGGCTGTTTTATGTTTGCTTGCAGGGGTTTTGTTTTGTCTTAGAGGGTTTTTAAAAGGGTGGGTTTTTTGTGCTTCTGCAAATAAGCCTGCTGATATGTTCTTCTTGTTTTTCTGGGTTATGTGGCCAGCATGACTAAGCCGCTTCTGGCGCAACGGAACACCAACACTAGAGCAGCGCATGGAAATGCCGTTTACCTTCCTGCCGGAGCGGTACCTATTAATCTACTTGCACTTTTTGGGGTGCTTTCGAACTGCTAGGGTGGCAGGAGCTGGGACCAAGCAATGGGAGCTCACCCCGTCGTGGGATTCGAACCGCCGACCTTTTGATTGGCAGGCCCAAGGCTCAGTGGTTTAGACCACAGCGCCACCCGCGTCCCATGTCTTTGTCATTAGGAGGGAGCTTATCTATTTATCTGAAGCGTTCTTTACTTTACCCTTCAGTCAAACAGGTTCCCTTACCCACACTTTTCTACTGTACCCCAAATGAAGACCAATCCAGTGCAGTGCCATTTCCTCAGAAGGAATGACCCACTAACTATCTGAGGGATAGCTCAGTTGGTAGAGCATGAGGGCTCTTAATCTCAGGGTTGTGAGTTCAAGCCCAACATTGGGTGAAAGATTCTTGCATTGCAGGCTAGATGAACCTTGCAGACCCTTCCAACTCTACAAGACTATGATTCTATTTCAAATTTCAAATATGTAAATGTTTTCCTTAGTTCAGGTCTGGAGCTCACGTCTCCCTTAGCCCCCTCCTGTAGCAAAGCTCATCCTCTTGCATTAAAGGTAAAGGTACCCCTGCCCGTACGGGCCAGTCTTGACAGACTCTAGGGTTGTGCGCCCATCTCACTCAAGAGGCCGGGGGCCAGCGCTGTCCGCAGACACTTCCGGGTCACGTGGCCAGCATGACATCGCTGCTCTGGCGAGCCAGAGCCGCACACGGAAACGCTGTTTACCTTCCCGCTAGTAAGCGGTCCCTATTTATCTACTTGCACCCGGGGGTGCTTTCAAACTGCTAGGTTGGCAGGCGCTGGGACCAAACAACGGGAGCGCACCCCGCTGCGGGGATTCGAACCGCTGACCTTTCGATCGGCAAGCCCTAGGCGCTGAGGCTTTTACCCACAGCGCCACCCGTGTCCCAATCATCCTCTTGCATTACGCACAGTTAATAAGCTACGACTACAAGACTGGGACAAGAAAGAGCCTCACACCATGGGGATGGTCACTCCAACTAACACAGAGACAAGACAGTGGCTATAGAAGCCCTGGAACTCCGTATGGTTCAGGGCACTCTGCCTTTGCAGCACTCAGCAACTTTTATACAGTAGCCTCACACACTTATATCTGACTATATCAATACACTTTTGAAGATTCTTCACCCAGTTTTCTATTCTATAAAGCTGACTTCAAATGAAGGAGGCTCCGAAAGGAATTTCCATTTTTGTCCAAGCAGAAGGGATTCATCAGAAAGAAGCACATGGTAATGGTAAATGGTGAAAAATAAAGGGAAAGGGTGTGGGTGTGTGAGGAGACACTGCAACTTTAATATCACCAAATACAGAGCGTTCAGTGAGACCAGAAAGAATTATCTTATGGTGTGCCTCATATGTTTAAATGACATCTGCTTTGTCTCACTTGGAAACTGAACTCTCCAGCATTTTGGAGCTCAGTAGTGGCTAAGGGAGGATTGGAAAGAGGGAGACCAGACCCTACACAAGCTTTCCTACTGGTTATAGGGCTTGTTATTCTGGGCAATCATTATAACTTCAGTTAATCTATTTCAGCAAGGCAGTATTAAGAATAACTAGCGTTCTTAACAATGGCAGTACATGTGGACTAATGCATTTCCCTTCCATCTTTCCATATTTGAAGTGTGAGGATTGGTAACTTATTGAAGAACAGGGATAGAGATTAGGAATAAATGAGTAATTCTCACAATGGAGGGATGCAAGAGGTTGGAATGCCACCCAAATTGGAACTGGTGTTTTTCAACTTGTTCATCAATGATCCTGAGTTAGGAGTGAGCAATGAGCTTTCCAAGTTTGCAATTATCCCAAATTATTGAAGATGATTTAAAGAAAAATAGATTGCAAAAGAACTCCAAAAAGGATGTCTACAAGATGTTGAATGAGTAACATAATGGCAAATGTGGTTCAATGTCAATAAATGCAAAGAGATGAACATTGTGGCAAAAAAATCTGAAGTTCCTACATATAGTGATGGTGTCTGAGCTGAATGTGACTGGCTGGGAAAGGGATCTTCGGGTGGAAGCAGATTGTGCCATGAAAATGCTGACCCAGTGTGCAGCAGCGATGAAAAAGCTAAAAATTCATGCAAGAGATCATTAAGAAAGTGTCTGAAAATTAAAAAAATGTGAATACTAAGATGCCTTTCTACAAATCTTTGTCATGGTGATACTTGAAATACTGAGTACAATTCTGGCTGTGACACCTCAAACAAAATCTATTATTTTTCTGTAGAATTGGTAAAGGCCAACCCAAATGATAAGAGCTGGAGCAGCTCCCCTGTGAGGAAAGCTTACAATTTTTTAAGGCTTTCTATAGTTTTTTTTTTGGGGGGGGGCGGAGGGAAGCTGAGTGAAAAGTTTATTTAAAAAATATACACAATATGGAGAAGGTGGATAGTCAGAAGACTTTCTTCCTCTCTCATAACCCTAGAACCCAAGGTTATTAAATGAATCTGACTGGTGAGACTTTCCCAAGCAACAAAAGGAAGTCCTTCTTCATATCACACATAGTTAGCTTATGAAATTGGCTGCTTCAAGATTTGTGGTGATTGCCACTAGGCCAGACAGCATTACAAGGGGGTGAAGAAAAGTCATAGAGGAGAAGGCTACCAGTCGAAAAGGCTATAGGCCAACCCTAGGATCAGATGCAATCTGCCTCTAAATACCTGTTGCTGGGCTGTGGGTGAGGTTTATTGCCCTCAAGTCCAGGAAATAGTGGTGCACTATGGGAAAAAGGCCGTTTGACTAAACTAGTCTGGTCCAGCAAGGCTCTTCTTATGGATTCTTGGCTGCTTGCTTACTTAAATACAAATGCACCAGAAACAGGGCTAATTCGTATTCTTTGAATGCTAACAACAAACCTTCCACTTCTCAGATTTCCAAAAGGAATCTCACATGAACTACTACAGCTCATTACTTTCATGAATGCTACTGGAAAATTTCCTGAATAGAGCCTGACCCACTGCTTGCCAGCTTTGCCAAAGAGAATGATTTAGTCATTAGTGATAATCAGCGGGATTTGACTACTGTAAGTCCATTAGAGCAATGACAAAGTCTTACCTCATCAGGACTAGGGATAATATTTACACTGACAACCTGATCACAAATAACAGACTCTGAATGTATTCTGTTCAAGCGACTCCTTAGTTCAGCATTCTGGTTGATAGCCTTAAAATAACAAAAATTAAATATTTAATTTCAAATGTACAAGACAGCACAAAGCAGAGTCAAACCACTGCTGTACCCTATATTTGGGCCAGAACCAAAGTGTTATATTATATGGATGGTACTTCTAAGCAACTAACTTTTTTCCTCCAACCATTAGTATTATGTCCAGCAGTTCTGGTTAGGTATCTTAAGTCAAATTAAACTCATTTAACTATTCTGGCTTTCTTCCATAGAAAAAAGGTTGCTAATTTGGTGAGTACACTAAGGATTCCTTGATAGAGGTCTGCATCCCTCCTCACTTTAAACAAGTTTATGGCCAAAGGCAAGAGGTGGAATAAATGTGATCAATTAAATTTATACATATGAGAAGCTATGAATAAGATACGAATAGTAGTGGAAAAGAGGGGTTGGTTAGCCCTTTCCTTCTGAGATATTTTCCTAGTCAAAATTCCCACCCAACGCCCAGCCTCTTATCCACCGGTGAAGGAACAGATATTAGGTTCCTACAGCATTTTACCTGGTGAGAAAGGAACACGGGAGAAAGGATTATAAACCCCTCTTTTCTCTTCCAATCAAATGTACAGCACATCCATAGTGACACTTCAGTGTTGCTGTTTTTTAAGTAGGAACTGCTCCTACATCTCCTTGAGTTTGGCCCCAGGATTACAATTCCGCACACCTTTGCTCTGGAGTAAGCAACTTGGTGGGACTTATTGTCTAAATATGCATGGGACTGGACTGCCAGAAAAGTAGACACACCTTTAGCCTTTCCTTGCTTTCTTAGATTCTATAAGACAATGAAAGAAGTTGTGTTTGCTTCAGGGGAACCTGATTATTTGGAAGACAAGCACCATTCACAGCAGATGGTTGTATGTTTTGCCATTGAAGCTGTTGTATTTGCTTCTGAATCAATAAGCACGATTCAGCCTTTACATTTATTTAAGGTCACCCAACAAGACCAGTCTATCCTCTTGAATGCTCTGTGCAGCTCGCACAGCATAAACAATACTGATGAATTAATGGATCATGCTTATAATCCTTTAGCATTTCAACATTAGACCACTGATATTGTCCATAGTATATCATCCCATATTACTGACATATGGAGGAGCAGAAATAGTTTACACTCTTCCCAACATGTCATAACCTACAGCAGGCAATGGAGGACTCAGATGGATATGAGGTTCAGGTTATTTCGTCAGAAAGAGAACCTCTGGAGCATTGGTCTTCAACTGGTGGTTTGCCACAAGAGCGCTACCAGCACACAAATGCACACTAAAAGGTTAAGAAACGGGTCCCCACTTGCATGTTTGGATTAAAAGTGGATCCTGGGTCAGAAAAGATTGAAAATGCCTGCTCTATAGAACCTAGCAATAAAACAGAGTTCTCTACCGTGGTCTTAATCAGAGGATGACTCCTCTGCATACCGTGTTTTTTCCTCCAGTCATGCAGAAGTCAAATTCTGCAAAATAAGGCAAGAGCCTTATTTGGCCAGATTCTCCAGGAAGGTGGAAGCTAGGACACTAGATCTGATCAGCTGGCACTAGTTCCTTGAAGGGGTAACAGCTTTATGTCTGTAGCTGTCTTAGCAGCACCCCTAGGAACTGTCCAAGGTCCTGTTCCTATCTGCTTTGACTGGCCACTGCCTGCATCCCCTGCAGTCTAATGAAACTAGGCAAATAGTCACCAACCCTTATGCAAACAGGCAGGAAGAAGCAAACATAGTAATTAATCAACTAAACTGCATTCGTTTGCCGCAAGTCAAAAAGAAAGTACTGCAACACGGAAAGTCAAAGCTCTGCAGGTTTGCGGCAAATGAGGTAAAGCACACAAAATGTCCATATTATTTAATATTTAATTTGATTATTTTAAAAAGCCAGTCAAGTTTAATTCATTAGGTATGAATTTCGTACCTCTTTAATTTAGACAGCACTACCCGTACTAATTTAAGTACTGCAACAGCAAAATGTGGAGCAACAGCAGTGAGAAAGCAGGAAAAGGACTGATGAGATTTTGGAAAGCAGTACTGGAGGTGCAAAGAAGCTGAGACTGTGAAAGACACGCGCAAAACACACACACACAGACTTTTAAGGAATGAACATTTGATGTGCTAACTGGAAGCTTCTTTTTCTAATCTCAGAGATTTTAAGTTCTTCTACAGAAAATAAGCTCCTCATATGAAGAGAAAGCTAGAATTCTTCGGAATCCAGTGGATTCTACACTGGAAACAAAAATGCTTTGACAAGTAAGTTCTTGGCTAAAGCACAATAAAAGGGGGGAAATGGTTTGGCCATTTCAAGATTTTAATTCAATTCTCATGACGAAAACCTTGCAAACACATGACACTACTACTATTAATTTGCACAGGACAATGTTCCTGGTTCTTTAGAAACGAGTATATTGGCACCTGTCCTCTCCAAAGAAAGTGCCACTTGTGCAGATAAAAGAGAGACAGAAGACAAGAGAATAGAATCCAAATGGACTCAAGAATTAGCATATGACGCATACAATGAGCTGCTGTCTTCCCCCACTTGTTCTCTGCCTATCTTTTCCCAACGTAGAGAAAAATATCTATTCTGGATACCGAAGGAGACCATAGAAAAAGAGGACAACTGAAGGAGACCATAGACTAAGCGTGGTATCAGGTGACATAACAAGAAAAGGTGGCGACATTGTATGAAGCAGAACACTGCTGAGAGCGAGATGACAGAACAGAGGTCAAACAACAGAATACCATTATCCTGGTTAAGTGAAGCAGTTCAACTGATGCTGCAGTCCTCAGTTATACTCTAGTGCATAAATCCTTAGCTCACCGAAGCTTTATAGTGAAAGCAAACTGGGTAGAAGCGCAGTTCTTCAAAGACTGAACTGAGTTCTGTCTGGTTAGCTGATCTGAAAATTGTGACATTATCTTGTGTGTTTGTGTACATACATACGGACAAAACTGGATAAAGCTACCAGGGTGGGTCAGTGAGATTGGCCTGGCTTTCCTGCATAAATGGGGTGGGTGGGTGTAGATTTTATTGTAAGATGAGGCAAGCTCAAAGATGGCAAGCACGCAGGATACTGCTGCTCCAACATTAATGTATCCAGTTTTGATGAAATGAGAATTAGAATACTACTTGGGGTCCCAAGGCCATAAAGTTAGCCCCGCTGCAGGCTCAATTTTACAGCTATAGACATGCAAGTGATGCAATAGAAGGAACATACAAATACTTGAAGCTGAACTGAACCTGAAGTGGGGAAAACAAGTTATCTTCTATTTGATTAAAGTTTTTCTAAGAGAACCAGCATCCACAGACTAGTTTCTTCGTGATTATGCAACACTGGACTCCTCAACCTATATTATACCCTGTATTGAACAAAATAATTCAAAATGTAATGTGATATTAACAGTGTACAATTTTGCATACCATCCCACGCTTTATTTCTATATTTATCTGGGTTGTGGTGTTTTGTTTTTTTTTTTTTTGTATTTTAAAAATATAAATGAATAAAAAAAACACCCTAGTATCTGGACAAGAAGTTGCCTTTATCTGTATTTTTCTTCTTCTTCATAATCCCTAACCCCATTATGTTTGAAAGTATAGGGTAGATCAGGACAGGAATTCATCAGTATCATAACATTTGATTTTGTCACTTGTTTTTAGAGAGTTATCTGGCATTTATGGAAAGCAATGCCACAAATGGCATTTACCACCTGTGGCAAACAACAGTTACAAATCACGGTATTTCCAAAACCAACCATCTGAAAACGTAGCAAATAGCCATGTAAGATCATACCTGCGAGAGGGATTGCCTGAGACACGTTATCTGTGTATTGTGTCCAGCGAAATCATGTTCTGAAACCATCTGCTTAAGCTTCTCCTTCTCTATCGCTATGCTGTTGAAGGCAGACTTCAGAAGAGAATGTACTGGGGAGAAAACAGAAATGTCTCTGGTATACACCACAGGCCTCTGCATGCAACTTATAAAAAAATATGTATCAGTGAACATTTTGCACAGTGCAATTCCCAATGCTACAGAAACGAGATGCAGATTTTGCATCACTTCCGAACTTCCATATGCCCTATTTTGGATAACCACGTATGAAAAACAGCCATTAGCCATGGCTGGAGTTTTGTCCTCATGTACACAGTGGAGCCTACAGTGCCATTATTCCTCACAGAGTGCAAAATCAGTTTAGTCTATTTTTCTCTCATCAACTACGGCTACTTCTCAAATATTCAGGATATTTTCACACACCTTGCAAAATAGGGGGAAGGGGGGGTGAGCCACTCAGGTCAAGCATATTTATATTCTGTTCTTTAAAGCACATCTCCATGCTACATGATTCCCCAAACTTCTGAAGGGCACGCCATTTTTCCTGTCATTTATCACTGTGAAAATTCAAAGGGTTCAGTGCAAAAAAAATAATTGGGGGGTGTCTTAATTTTTAGACTCAGACTGTAAGAGCCAACAACTTGTACATCTTTGGCTAGAATTTTAAAACATGGCATAGCAAGTGGGTGCTGATCAGGTGAAAAAAATTGCAAGCCATCACAGTGCAAGCTTGCAATATTCATACCCGTACTGCAAGAAATCGCTTCCTTGCAACTGCATCTGTGTGCAAAATCTGTGTGAGAAGCACAGCTGAAATAGTTGAAAAGTAAAACACAAGGGATCTTCCGAAACTTAACAGGATAAGAGAGAAACCTTTGGCAGCTGCACATTCAACATGCTAGCTTCAGTTTCTCCCAAATGAAATAATCAACACACACAATGCCTTGGCCCAAAGCTAGCCTACTCTGTATCAAAGGTTATTTCCACTGAGATGCTGCTGTTATGCATACAATTACCTTTCTGTGCCATGAGGCAAAACTCTTCTTGGAGTTTCAGGTAGTCCGTGGAGCTTTCCAGGGGGTCAGGTGCATGGCTTGGAGGAGACTGAAATTCGATGTCTGCACAAAGATTAGGATTGGATGAATGCAGGCGAACAGGAGACATTGTAGCGCTGAAAGGAACCTAAATTGGAAAGCAACAGATACAAGGGACTGTATCTTTCTTCCACAGAACATCTGGCACAGCACTGTAAGACTTTTCTCACTTTACCATAGCACTCAATATTTATGAGTCGTGGCACTGCTGCCAAGAAGTATCTTTTTAATCTCCTTCAAAGGAGGAGTTCTGCTCCTTCCCTGAAATCAATGTTGATGTGTTATAAGTGTTAATTTCTGAGGAATAGGATTTCAATTCAAACTTGCAGTTACAGCTTGTAACATAAAAAAGGAACAGTGCTTTCTAAGTAAAGCCAAACACAACCAACCAAATATTCAGTGTGGGACATTAAATAATAGAGCTTCAAGTGTCTTCTGATTCACTGGAAATCAGAAAAGTGAAGGGAGGCATTTTAGGAGAGAAAACTTTACTAAATTTGTAGTCTGGCCTTCCAAACATGTATGAATAATGTATTAGCAGCTACTGGGGGGAAAGAAGATTTGAGCAGTACTATTTTCTCCAGCAAACTTAAAACATGGCTAAACATCGCCAAAGAAGAATTATGAACAGATTTATGAAAGTGCTGGTAAATCGGGAAATGGATATATAATATATGGCATTAGTACATCTACAAATCACAAAATGTGAAGCTAGATGCATTGAGTGCCTGTCTTTTAATGTAGAATGTCAATTTAATTTGTTGTATTTATCTACACATTGCACAAAAAGACACTGTGAATATACAACGCAGAGAGACAATCTTGAATCATGTCTTCAAGACACAATTTATTGTACCACCTCCACTTTTCATTCCCTTCTAAGAAATATGTTTGTATATATATGTGTGTGTGTTTTCTCACATTGCTTTTTTATTACACAGAATACACACAAACATATAAGCACCATGCACACATCTGCAGTGCTTTTTAAAAATAATATATAAACTATTCAGTGATGACATGCAAGACAAAATGCATTCAGCCTTAGGTGCATTCCGCGGCCCAATGTTCAAGCATTTTTGTGAACGAACTTGCAACCCAATTTGGCACTTGAATATAAAGTCAAATGTTAAATTACATTGTTGTCCAAATAGTTCATGTAATTTAAATGTCAATTTCTTTGGGGGGGGTGTTACAAAATATATTACATGCTTTTGAAATATTCTCAACAGGACCAGCATAAAAAGTCATATTACTTTACATTTCAACAGACAATGGATTCATTGGCCCTAACCAGGAGGAACTTCTTGGAATACAATTTTCTCCAGTTCTTTCAGGAACCTGGACTTGCACAGTATATAATGTAAAGTTTTAATTCATCAGTTGAAATGTATTTTTGAGAGATTAGACATCCTATTCTGCCCACATATTAATTGCAGCTCTTCTTCTGCTACCCAGTCTCTTAACATTGGAACTTTACTGTATGTTGATACATTTCTTCCATTCAGCTATATGAAAAACACTAACTTTGAACCTGAGTTAAATTTAGATTGGAAAAAATGGAATGCCTCCTCCCTTTTTTGTTTTTTGTTTTTTGTTGGTTGTTTAAACAACAATCAAAGGGAGTGTTTTCCTTTCCCAGGGGAACTTACAGTATTACCACAGGAACACAATATCCTTGTATCACAATTAGATGTAATACTAAACTAAAATTCTGCCTTTAACAATTCCTTAGAATAGCCTTCTTTTGGCAAACAAGCTTTGATCTCAATTATTGATCACTTCCTTCAAGTTTGTAACTTTGCCCTTTTCAGATGAGATCCAACGTCATGCCAAAGGATGGGATATCCCCCATCATATCCTCCATACTGCAGCCCAAATCTGCTCCAGAGGGTCCCCAACCCTCTAGAACACATTTTGAGGGTGTGCAGAAAAGGAAGAGGAAGAGGAAGAGGAAAAGGAAGAGGAAGAGGAGTGCTCTGATGGTGTTTCCTGCTTGGCAGGGGGTTGGACTCGATCCCCCTTGTGGTCTATTCCAGTGTTTCCCAACCTTTTTTGGGCAAAGGCACACTTGTTTCATGAAAAAAATCTCAAGGCACACCACCATGCCAGATGGGGAAAGGTCACTTTTTACTTATGTAAAAAAAAAATAAAAAAATAGTAACAGCATAGAAGGTAATGGTTAGGCTAGCATCCCTCTTCCAAATATGCTAGGTTTTTATTTGCAGGGACTGTTCTACATGGGAAAGCATTCAGCACTGTCATTCTCCCATCTGCCATCTGAATTGGTACTATTCTGGGTCAACTTACTCTGCTGCATGTGTAGATGAAAATGGCACCAAGTGTGGGGGAGGGGGCAGAACAGGTTTCAGATACAGGATATTAAGCATACACGTACTTCAGATTGAACTGGTTGCTTGCTTTGCAAGTTTTCATTTCCCAAATGACTGCCTTGGCAAGCGCAATACCTACCAGGCTCAACGCCGGTCTCGCGCTGCCGCTTCCCGCGCTCTCAAGGACCCGGGAGGAGGAAGGCGTGAAGGGAATCCTGAAGGCGCGAAAACCTCGCGCATGCGCAGGCCTTCCGCCTGCGACAGCCCAGTAGGCCAGCCGAAGCGAGCGGCGATGGGACGTGGGAGGGAGCTCGCTCACCGCCCCGCGTGTGCCTATGTGGGGCACGTTACAGCCCCGTGACGTCAGCGCCACGCAGGCAGCCAGGCAGGCAGACGGCGAGAGCCCCGCGCTGGGCGGCCTCTCCTCGCCGCCGCCGCCCCGCCTCTCGCCGCCCGACTCGCCCGCCTCCCTCCAGGCAACATCTCGCGGCACACCAGGCAACGTCTCGCGGCACACTAGTGTGCCGCGGAACACCGGTTGGGAAACACTGGTCTATTCCAACTCTATGATTCTTGCTCGCACAAACAGAAGTCTGTTGCACAGGCAGGAGAACACAATTGGATAGCACCATTCATTAGGATTATTATGGCTGAAACCAAACAGCAGCAACCTAGGAGCTGATCGAGCTATAAACTGTGAGGGGAAAAAAGCTCAAGGGAGAACCTAGAGATAAACTAGGAAGGGAAATCTTAATCTACTTTCAGTCTTTTAAAGTGGCTGTTTCTGAAAGACCAACTCTATAAGCCAGTGTGCAAGGGAAGGCACTCATAAGATGGAAAGCTAAGATCACAGAAGGTATGCTGTTCTCTCAAGGTGGAAGTGGAATCTGAGGAAGCAGCTGCCATCATTGCATGAATAACTCTGCTGAGAGTGGTGCAGGAGGAGGCAAAGACTAAGGAAGCTCATGCATTTGATCCCTGGGGGTCTATAAAAAGAAGGGCAAACAGAAATATTTCTGCTCCAAATGCAAGATTCTAATTTAGTGTACACTGGCTGCCAATACCCAGGATGCAAAGGGGTGGTAGGAGGAGCTGTTGCAGGTCCTTCTGTAAAGGAAGCACTTGCTGCTAGTCAGCCATTTGCTCCCCATGCTGAAAGAAACTTTGAAAGTGGCATTCTATGTTACTCAAGGATGTGTGGGTAGGATGAAAAACCAGGAAAGTTCTTGTTTGTCAACAAAGCGCGTACACAAATCTAAGAGGCACCTTAGCCTCCAGCTAATGTACATGAATTTTCAAAAATGAATGAATTCAAATATTGGAACACCTGAAACGAACTTAATCACATGAGGAAGAGGCAATTGGTGCCTCATTTTTATTTAATAATGATGGTCCATGTTCAGGGGATATATAGATTGCTTTACCTCCAAATATTTAACAAAAAAGCAAAGCCCAAATACTACGTTAGTCATTCAGATTACCATAGTAACCTCCCTTCCAACCATGAGAGGCAGAGGCAAATGATTTTTTTGGTACAGCACCTGGAAATTAGACCAAACATCTGGAATGAGGATGTGGCTAGAGAGCATTACGCAATTGCTTTAAATCCAAGAGTTAATGTGGTAAATTGGGACTTAAAATAGAGGCCAAAAGATTTTGGCAATTAAATTCAACACCAAATTTGTAAAGAAATAGGTAAAAAAAGTATGTGAGAAATACACAATGCTGGCAGTATTTGGACAACCAAATCTTGGCTTAAGTTAACTTTAAACCATATCATGTTTCATTTGGAAACCATTCAGCATGGTTTCCCAGTCTGGACATAAAAAGCTCTGGTTCCCTGGTTAACTGGGGCTTCCTGGCTTGTTTCTTGTCTCACGTGACATGCAGGAGTCTTAGTTTTAGATCTCAGCTTGTTAAGCAAAGATTCGATCAACTGAATATAGATGCTGTGAATCACAGGTGTGGCCCTCCAGATGTTACTAAACTACAACTCCCATAAGCCCCAGCAAGCATGGCCAACGGTCAGGGATGATGGGAGTTACAATTCAACAACATCCGGAAGGCCAGTGGTTCACCACACCTTATACTTTCAAACCTTGGCTCCAGTAGGCCTGGAAGATACACATATTATAATTTTAGGGTGCACGCATACGTATGTGTGGTATGAAGTGCATGCTTGCCATTCACAACATGGTTGCACCTTTCTCTGTTGCAGCACTGCCTTCCATAACCATCAGCTATTCGGCTATTTCCCCCCGCCCCCATCTCAAAGTGGATCCACTACAATGTTGTCTTGCACAGCCATTATCTGCTCACCCAGGGGATACCTTAAAGCTGCTGTTACCGCCTTAATCTCCTACTCCGCATTACCTATCCACCTAAAGAATGCTTCCCAGGTGTACCGTTCAGCTCTGCTTCCGCCTCTACACTCATTTTCTCGTTTGTTCCCCATCTTTCACAAGCTCCATTTTCAGGTAGATGTTCACAGCATTTTTGGCTTGGTGCAGTAGCCTGCTCTGATAATCTGTTTCATTTTTTTTTAAAAGTAGCACAGTTGTAGATTAATATGCACATTCACCCCTGAAAAGCTGGTTTATCTCTAGTATTAACACTCCACTCTAAATGACCACTGGTATGTGATTCTGGGCTCAATGGAAGCGTTGGTTGTTACCTATAAAGCCCTAAATTGGCCTGGTTACCCAAAGAACCACACACTTTCTACCCCACAAGATTGCCTGAAGCTTGCTTTTTTCACCAGAGGCTGTCCCCCAAGTCCTACTGCCAACGGAAGTTGAGTTTAGTGATTGGAGAAGGGCCCTTCGTAGTTCTAATGCCATATATTGGGGATGTTCTTCCCATGGAAACATTGCCTGAAGCCAACTCTGATATATTTCTGGCATCAGGCAGAGACATTTTTAATTTGTCCAGACATCCAAGCATATTCAACAGATGGTTTTAAGAGTTGGTTATGATTCAGTGTGGTTTATGGATTGAGTGTTGCTGGGGTGGTGGTGGTTGTATCATTTTATTGTACTGTTTTATTCATTTATCTGAATGTTATCCTGGCATAGTATGCGAAGGGTGGGTGGTAAATTAAAATAAATGCGTTCATCCCTTGAATATTAACATCACTTTCCATCAACGTGCAATTTGGCTTGAGTGGCAATTTGTTATTTCAATGAAATATCAAGGACCTCCTGCTAGCCAGCTCTCAGGTATCCTCATTTCCTGACAAATCAGATTCATTGTGTCAACCTTACGCAATCATGTTACTGTAGGTGGAAGTAAATACGTCTACTTTCATTTGAACTACTGAATTAGGTGAACATTCTGCTATGTCCAACTCTTCAAGGAAGCCACATAATACACACTTTGATTTATTTACTTAAATTTTGCTTCCACCGAAAGTCTAACTGCTTTAAAAAAACAAAACAAAGTAAAATACAATTGGTGTGGCAGTAATATGACTTTTTGAGATTATGGAACATAAATAAAACTTATGCAATGCAATACAGCATGGTTGAATTTATTTATGGACCTGGTAACTACTGTACTTCTCTTCTGCTTTCTTGATTAAAACAGTCACTTAATAGAATTACAATGCAAAGATTCTTCCAGTCTAAGAATCTTTACTCAGAAGTAAGACCCTCTGAGTGTTGTTGTTTTTTTTTAAAAAAATACTTACTCTCAAATGAGCATTAGAACCTTAAACATATACAATCACTTTCCTAGTTATACTGCATAGTATAAGCATATGTCATACTTTGATATTTTTATTATTGTTGGTTTGTTATTTTATTCTTCTTTAAAATATTTGCTGTCAGCCATTTTGGACACCTCCATATGGAGTCAGAAAGCTAGTTATAAATTTTATTCTAAATAAGTATAAACAAGTATACTAACAGGATAAAGTTAGGCTCTGACATCACTTAGCATGGCCTTCTCGTGTATCATTTCTCTGCCAAAGTCCATCCTTTTTTATATACACGGTGCCTCCTGTTATGCATATTTTATTTGTTTGATTATTTCTACCCCACCTTTTGATCCAGAAGTGTTCCCCAAAATAGCTTAAGTAAAATAATTAAATAGAATTTAATTAAAGCTCTCATTTCCTCTTGCACACTGCATTGATATGGGGCAGTCATTTCCCTCAACCCCCAAATTCTCATTGGCTGCTCCTATCCTCCCTCTTCACTCTGCTAAGGACAAGAAATGGGGAGGCCAATTGTTGGGTATTTCTCGCTCTTTCTCCACACCTAGATGCTAAAGGACAATGGTTGGATGGTCATTAATCTCAGCGTATAGAGATAAGCATGTGCAAACAGGTTAAACAGAGTTATTGGTATGTGGGTGTTTTTTTTTAGAGTTCTCTGAGTAAAGGATCCAAAAATAATCACACCATGAAAAAGCAGCAGCAAGACTGCTTTTAATCAACAGTGAAGACATGCTGCCAAAGAGAACTCCTTTTCACTCTTTTGCTCATAGCAAAGTGCACCGTGCATACAAAAACAAAACAAGACTTTGGCTAAGGGAGCACTGTCCAAAATGGTTACACACCAAACATACAGCTAAACATACACATTTTAAGCTGGAATCATTTAGACCTGAAAGAGCTTAAGTTTGGCTAGATTTTATACAATGGTTTTTCCCCCCTTTTTACTTGGTTGCACTGTAAACATGCACAAGTTAGACGGTTTGTGAGCCCACAAACACTTAAAGAAGTAGTGACGCAGCTTAGCCTTCCAACCTCACCCTTCCCATGCTCCCCGGGAGTGCCATGAGCGCCACCAGCACATCTACATCAATGTCTGCAGCTTCCCATCTTTAAAGCTTCTATGCGCCTTGACTGTTAAATCCACTCACTGTTGTAGCCACTGCATCTGCTAGTCTCTGGCGACGCCGTGCGGTACTGAACTGGCTTTTCAGTGCTGTCCCTTCCTGACAGTGAACGGGAAAAGAACAGGGAAGCAGAAAGAAGGGGAAAAGGATGATGGGAACTCAGGAAAGACAGTCAGTGAAAAAGAGGAGGACGTTCTTCTAACTGTTTTACTTCTACAAAGGGCCAATCTGCAGTGCAACTGAGGAAAAGGGAGTCACCAAGTTGTTACGCTATGTGTACCTCATCCCCAGTTAGCCCCATTATAAGCTGCACAGAGTAGGTTTCTAACTCAGTTCATCACAGACTGACTGACAATTAGAGGACACGGTGAAGCCACTGAACAAACCGTTGCAGCACCACTTACCCAGCTGCTATAATGTGACAATTCTTCTTTTGCAAACAGGTGGAAAGTAATTGGTCCTAATAGTAAGAAGCAGAAAACCTTTTGGCATCAAATAGTGTGGTCTAAATCCAGCACAAAAGCGATGCTCACTTAAGGCCATTACAATCACTTTGTGTTGAATTTAGGGCCTACACTTTTCTTATTCACACACGTGCAAGATACATTAAGAATAATTGGCTATTAAAAAGTTCCTGGTAGCATTTGATAGCTGTGAACTACAACTGCATGTCCATAATGTATGCATGTTATTTGGCATGTAAATAAAAAAACAAACCAGGAGGCTATGGGATGAAAGACGACAAAAATCCAAAATTTGGATACGGTTCAATTACACACAATGTAACGGAAATCACCCAGAATGCTGTTCTCTCAGAATGCAGGTCTACTAGACATTGTAAGCTAACTAAAGGTTCTTTGGCAACTAAGTATTTCTCTACATAAAACTTTATGCCACCTGAGACTGCAGTCTGTTCTGGATTTCATGCTACAAGTTTCACCCAGACCAGCGATTCAACATTCTTTTACTTCTGCGTTGCTGTTTTTTTGTTTTTTTGAATGATCAACCTATTCATTCATTCCAACATATTCTGCATTATTCCTAAAACAATGTCAAGGATGGCAGACAAGCACTTATTTAAATCACTGTCTGCAGGCTGTAGCTTCCAAAAGAAGTAAGTGATTTATAACAGTCCTTCAACATGCCATTAAAAAATCCAAGTAAGCAGTTTTGCAAGGGTACAACCAACTTTTTTTAAAAAAAAAACATTTTGAGTGGTTTTCTTGAAGGCAACTACACAACTATATATATCCACGGGCAACTGAAGATGGGGGACAAAGTATGTACCACAACTCCCACCTCTGCTGGCAAGCTCTGAAAACCTTCCCTTTTTCAGGCTTGCACAGGGCTTTGTATGAGATATTCTTTTCTCAGTCCTGGAGGAGGGAGCAAATCTTAAGCATGCAAAAACCTCCTGATCCTCCTAGCTTTACTTTGTCAAGTTGTCCCTCAATTAAAAGAAGTGAACAGATAGGAGTTCTGGGATATCCAGGTAAAGCTGATAATGTACAGAATCAGGTAGTCCTTTTTATCCAAGAACAGGGCAGGAAGAAGAGGTAAGAGCATGCAAGAGCCACAGACTCATTCACTCTCTCCTGGGTTCAGAAGTTCAGTTTAACTAGGCTCTCAATTATAACCAGGAGCTTCTCTTTCGGTTCTTGTGAGCCATCCATGGGAAACAGAACACCACATGTAACAGAGAGCAATATGTTCACAGGCTGAATATACCAATATGATTTTGTTTTCACGTGGCTTTCCAAGGCCTTTGCTGCCCTCCCTCTCTTTAAGGCTAAACAGGCCTTTAAAATAATTTCATTCAACATGAAAACAAGCATTAGCACGTCAGAATGGTCCCGTGAAGCTATTAACATAGGACTTGGAGCAGAGATAAGGAAATTTAAATTTGACTGCAAGCTTTTCTGACCAATCTGCACTTCCTTCAAATTATCAGTGTTCCTTCTTTAAGAGAGAAAGAGAAGAGAAAGAGAGAGAGAGAGAGAGAGAGAGAGAGAGAGAATATTTTAAAACTCTAGCAGCATGTGAATCTCACAAGGATCTATTAAGAACTAATGAAAACTACAAATTCTCTTTAAAAAAAATATGGTACTAAATTATAGATAAACATACCAAGAGTTGCAAACTTTACAACACGGAAAATGCAGTTTTAAAATGTTGCAGCCCCTCTTCTTCTTATAACCTCTTGTGTTCTTTTCTGGTTGCATTGGAAAGCAATGAACCCGACTACTGACTGCCTGTGCAAAACTTTGTGTCATAACTTCTAAAGCAATCCAAGAGTTTGAGGGTCATTTGCACACACCTCTGGATTAAAGCCTTTATGTGAGAAAATTATTTGAAAAGGAAGGATGGTCAGAAGGCAGACTGACCAGCTTCTGGGGCTTTAGACCTGAGGTGGGGATTTTGTTGGGAGGATGGAAACTGTAGTCCGGTAACATATGGAGGGCAGCAGGTTCCCCACCGTTGCTTTAGAGTTTCTGAGACTTTGGCACATTCTCTGGAAATTTCCTCTCAATGAGTCACTCTTTCATTACAGCTCAGAGAAAAAGGGGTGGGGAGGAAGAGAGGGAGAGAGAGAGAGAGCGAGAGAAAGAAACTGGCTGACTTTTAAAAGAATAAAGTCTGCTAAAACTGAACCCTTAATTCAGCAAACATGGACCCTCCACTGCAAAAAAGGGAAAAAAACCCCGAAAGTTTGTTGCACAAAACACTCTGCATCTAGTTAGCACTTCAGACAACAGACGTTACTACCAGTGACACAAAAAATGTAAAGCACAGCACAGAAACAAGCACAATTTGTTTGAGGGTGCTACATTACCTACAAAAAGCTTGATTTGTCAAGTGTACCCTTTTGTTAAATCACTGGTTTCTCCTTCCAGAAAATATTTCAAGAAAAACTTTCAGAAATGAAAAGGCCAGTGCTTCAACAATTCAGAGGCGTCTTTTATCTAAAACTCTGGTGAAAATTGAAAACATGAACGCAGTACCTGGAGCTGTATTTTAGCATCTTTGCTGACGCTTTTTGTTCTCCATCTTCTTGTGACACGCTTGTCCTTCTTATCTACACAATTAGCCTACGTCATGAAATAGTTAAAAGCAACAAAGCATTGTGTTAAAAGCACATATAAACAACCGACAGAGACAATACTGGAAAAGTTAGTAACAAGAATCTTGGTGTTAGTTTTCAGCAAATAAAATTATGGTAAGAATGCTAACCCAGGCTCTCCATAAAAAGCAAACAATGTGTTATTTTAAAACAAATTTTTAAAAAAACTAACTTTGGAATACAATTCTAAAGTCATTTACTTTAGACTTTTCTGCCTAAATTCAGTGAAAGTATCCTTGCTTCCATATGACACTCAGTAATACGAAACAAAAACAAACTGAATATTAAATTACTGGAACAAAGGTTATGAAAAATTGTATTGGTTGCTGTATTTACAATCCTCACAGAACTGGATTATAGCAACAATTTATTCTGCCCATGCTTGGATATTTCATAATTGACTAGAGAGTTTCGAAATTTTGCAGGCTGACAGTTGGTTTCCTCTAGGAACCAGGTTTTCTATAAAAAAACACATCATCATTTTTTTAAAATTTGGAATTCAAAACTTGCTTACCTGCATATCCGTGAAATTTGGAGCTGACTGAGTCCTCTGAAGTATTTCTAAGTTTTGAAGAATTTTACTGAGTTCCACAAGGTTTGACTGGCAGAGCGTAAGGTCTGACACAAATTATATTCAAAAAAAGTACGTTAGTTACCTTGGTCAAGATTTTATTTTTTCTATGGTATCTCATAACTTAAATAGGATAAGATTATCAGTATAGTAGCACAAACACACAGATTGTTGTGTGTGTGTATATATATGCATATGTATATGTGTGTGAATGAATATATATATATATATATATATGCTTTTCTTGTTCCAGTAACAAGAAGCCGAAAGCACCAGCCTGAAGATGACGAGTGAGACCTCGTCGAAACGTCGCCTAGACACCCCAACTTTTACACGGGAAGACACCCGAGGACACCAAAACCTGCATATATATATATATATATATATGAATGAAGACAGGAGTGCCTGGCGTGCTCTGGTCCATGGGGTCACGAAGAGTCGGACACGACTAAATGACTAAACACACACACACACACACACACACACACACACATATGCATGCTACGCTTTCTACAGGCATAAAAAGTTATGCCCTAAATGAGGGACTTAACATACAATTCCTGTACTCTTTTAATCTTCTTAATCCAGGAACAGCCAACACGGTGCTCTCCAGATAATGAACTATAAATCCCATCTGAGCGACCCTTAATTTCGTAGGGTATACTCTGAATAAAAGTTACTTGAATACAACCCAACATGCTGGTTGTAAATAATTAGGCAAAAGAAAGCTAAAAGCACATTCCTCGCCAATTCCTTTTAATTCTTGCGCTGGATTTTCATTAGGCTAGGCAATCCCCCCCCCCATCTTGATTAGTTGTTTTATAAAGATCAGCAGTTCAATACACTGCTGTAATGGCCAGCAAGTAGCCATACCTCTGCCATGACTCATCTTCATCAGATAAAAAACACTCAGAATATCGGTTGGCTAAATCACCATTTTCTGTTAACTGTCAACTTATTGAGTATTGTAAGGGGGATGGGAATATGTGTTATCGTCCCTGAAGATGCTGTGACATCTTGGTTGGTGGAATCCAGTCTCAGATCAGCTTAGCCAAGGGAACATGTCCTGCGAAATGGGCTCAAGAAGTTGGCTGTCCATTATCTATTCTAGACGAAACTTTGGGTCCCCAGCTGTTGTTGGACTACAACTCCCATCAGCCCCAAGCCCAGGTCTTGTTACCTAGGAATGACAGCAGCTATAGTCCAACAACAGCTGGGAACCCAAGTTTGAGAAACACTGGCTAGACCAAGCATCCCCAAACTTGGCCCTCCAGCTGTTTTGGAACTACAATTCCCATTGTGCTGGTCCCGGGGGGAAGGTTACCGTTGGCATGGTCAAAGTCCAGTCCTGGGTCACGAGTCTGGAAACAGTTCACAAAGAGCGAGGCGGGGTCCGAAGCAGGAAGTCGGGCGGGGACGGGAACTCTGGAAGGACAGGTCTGGGTCCGGGCAGAAGCAGGTATTCAACGACGTTGCTCCCGCAACCTGGGACCGGGCTGACTGGCCTTTATCTTCTCTGAGGCCAGGGGCGGTCCCGGCCCCCAGGAGACCCGCCTCTCCTGGCCTTAAGGTGAGCACTCCTCCTGGGAGAAAGCAGTTCCCTCCGCCTCTCTGCCCTGAGCCTCTGCAGCTCAGGAGAGGCTGGAGGGTTACTGGACCCAGGGGGAGACTCACCTTCCCCTGACAGGGCTGGGAGAGGCGCACCTGTAGGCACTGTGTCCTCAATCACCTCCGGAGGCAGAGTGGAATCACCTGGTGCCTGCTCCTGAGGATCCGGCACAGGTGCAGGCGCTTCAGATCCAAGGCCCTGCCCCAGCTCAGCCGGCCCTGAAGGCGGGGACTCCTGTGCAGGCTGGGGTTCCTCCGGTTCAGCCTCTGAATCGGATTCCCAGGCCATCACACCCATCATCCCTGACCACTGGTCCGGTTAGCTAGGGATGATGGGAGTTGTAGTCCCAAAACAGATGGAGGGCCGAGTTTGGGGGTCCCTGGGCTAGACCATTCACAGCATGCCATAAAAACTACAGATATAACATTAAAAACTAATCAGGAACCCTCATTTGTTTTTTTTTAAAATAGCTGCCAGATACGTTCACACAAACTAGACAGATTTAAAAAAAGGCTAGTGCCAAACAACATTAACCCCCATTTTTAACCTGAAAGCCACCATAGGCAGGATTCATTGTGACCAGAAGTATCAACAGATTTCCCTGAGATAGTACCCCTTATTATTATTTTTATTGTATTGGTTATTAAATTCATATGCTGCCTTTCATCCGAAAAGCACAGAGTGGTTTACAACATAAAAACACAAAATACGTATTAGCAAAAAACAGTAAATCCACCCAATGATTGCATATAGGAAAATATGAATACTACATGAATACTACATATTTAAAGCCCTTTATATACCTCCTTTATATACCTAAAGGAGCATTTCCACCCCCATCATCCAGCCCCATCATCCACTGAGGTCCAGCACCGAGGGCTTTTCTGGTGGTTCCCTCACTATGAGAAGTGAGGTTACAGGGAACCAGGCAGAGGGCCTTCTCGGTAGTGGCCCCTGCCCTGTGGAATGCCCTCCCAGCAGATGTCAAGGCAATAAACAACTATTTTACTTTTAAAAGACAACTGAAGGCGGCCCTAAAAGGGAAGTTTTTAATGTCTAATGCTGTATTGTTTTTAATATTCAGTGGAAGCCACCCAGAGTGGCTGGGGAAACCCAGCCAGATGGGCGGGGTATAAATAATAAATTATTATTATTATTATTATTATTATTATTATTATTATTATTATTATTATACATGGGAACTATCTATTAGCCAGAAGCCGAGTACCTATAAATGGAAGGAAAGTAGCTTGACCAGAGACTGACCTTCCGCACACCTGTCCATCTCCTCGGAGTCTTGCAACCAAGCAACTACTTTACTTTGGCCAGTGGTACATGTTGCGGGGAGGCTGTTGCTGCAGGTAATGGATGGCTGCCATGGGAAATTATTCTGTGCGACCTAAAAAAAAAACCCCAAAGATTCAAAAAATTTATTACTGAATACTGGGAGGAAAATGGCCTGTGCTAAAATCAAACCATCAGACAAGAAACAAATGATATCCTGTTTGAAAGGAGGCAAGTATGAATTCAGCAGCTTGAAAATTGATGGTGGTCTTGGTTTTTCTGCCTGTTGTAACAATTGTAATGCACTGTGCTGGGTGCTACATTGTTTTTAAATGTATTTTTATTGTGTCCTTTATTTCTTACAATGTATTTCATTGTAATACAATTTGCATTCCATAGAATTAAAACTGCGATACAATAAAATACAATGAACAGAATGAAATAAGCAATAAAAATACAATTTAAAATGATGGTGTATATCAAATGTGGACATGCCGCAAACCACCTGACCCAAGCTTGTGGTCCACTGGCGGACGACAGTTTGGGAGCCCCTTCTCTAGCCCAAATAAAACATCAATAACAAGCAGTTCTGCAGAAGTGGTAAAAGCAGAGAGTATTTGGTTATTCAGCTTCCTCTTCTCTTCACTTCACTAGTGCTATCAATAATGGCACACATTTCCTAACGGAGGACAATGGTTAGAAAATGTGGTGGATTATTAAACAAGTATTATGAACATCAAGACAGATATCTTCAGATCAGGGGCATGTTATACCTTGGCCTCCAGGGCAGCAACGTTAGCAGCTGGTGAAGATTCAGTAGTTGACGCTGAAGGGAATATGTGGAATCCGGCATCTCGTGGTGATCGTACAATCTCGTTCTGACGGTATAACCTGTGGTGGCGCAGCCTCGATACCCAAGCATCAAACGAGTCCTGGGATTTTACCTAGTGAGAACGGGGAGCTCAGCAATAGTATCTGACTGTTTCAAACTGGAAAGAAAACTAATGGGAAACATTCCTTACTTTCAAATGGTAAATATGCTCTTCAGTGTCAAGGTCTATCCTCCGAGCTTTCTTTTTAATTGACATAACTGATAAGCCAACATCTATGCTTCCGTGAACCTTTCCTTTCTGAGTCTGAAAAATAAAAATGAAGAGAAAACATTGCCAATGAGCTGGGAAAAATAAGGCCATTTCTTTATTTAAGTATTTATATACCACTAAATCATAACATATATATATATCAAAGTGGCTTACAACGGTAAAAAAGATAAAAACCAAACAATAAAATTTATGGTGCCCAATTGAAATATGTTGTTTACTTGGTCAGAAACATCAGAAAATATTATTAGATGGGGAGAAAACGAAAGCATCATTTTTCTGGAAAGGAAATCATGAAGATAGGAATGCATTGCCCTTTGATTTCCTAATAAACACTTTCTCCATGACTAATTCTAAAAAAGGCTGCATTTCATATGCTATATTAACATATATTAGAATCTCTGCTTGCTATAGACAACATGCTAAAAGCTGCAGAAAATAAAAGAAAATTAAAAGATATAACTAAATAGTCCTTCACCAAACAAAACATTCTTCTCTTCTCCTTTCTTTCTACCTCATCATCAAAGGAAATATTAATTATAATATTGGATTTTTATAATGTTACTTTTAAAAAAAATGCTCTAGTATTACTTACATCAATTGGCGACTTTGAATATTTCAACATTCCGTTATCCAGGACAAAAAAGCGCTACAGAAAAAAACAAAACAATTTGTAAGAGGTCAAATAAAATCTGGCATATGTAAAATAATATATCTAATGAAGACAAATGTCTGTTCCTCGTGGTTACCAAATAACGAGCACACAGCAGAAACCATGCTGACAAGACATCTTGCTTCCATTCCGTAGCCTGGATATGAGGAGCCTCTTAGCCACTAAACTTTGTATGCATTACAGCAGGGTTGAGGAACCTGGGGCCCAGGAGTTGAACACAGGACTCTGTGCCTTTTTATCTGGCTCTCAGGACTGTTCCCAGCCTACATGTCATCTCCTCCACGGCCCTGCTCTACTCTCAACTCAAGTGCTTCTGTCTTGCTGGAATGCGTCCTTGAAATATGCTCTACCCACACCTCTGACTCCATCCACCACTAGCAAGTTGCCCTGTGAAGTTGCTCATGAAGAAATGCAGCTCTTGGGCTGAAGAAGGCAGACCACCCATGTCTCACAAGCATGGAGAGCAGGCAACCCACCGCCAACTGCCATGCCCCATCTAGAACACTGGCCTTGAAGTCCAAACTATAATGGGGATGACCTAACGGCAAGCAAAAGACCTGCATACAGCACCCACTGTTACCTTCCCTCCTCTCTCTCTGTCTCTCTTTAAAGCCACTATGAGAGATTGTAATTAGGAGCAGTGGACTCAAACAAGAGAGAGTTTGTGTATGCTTAACCTTGTGCTCTCTGATTGTTCTCCTCAAAATTTCCCCTTACCCAGTTGCTTTCACCCCCCGCATAAAACAGCGGGGCACGATTTGAATGAAACAATAGGGAGAGTGGAAAGGGTCAAGCATATCCTCTCATTGTTTCTCACCACAGACTCCTGAGGCTGTAAAAAACAGTGTTGGAAGAATGTCGCATTGAATGCCTAGTTTGGGTCCTTAGGCCATCCATTGAATTCATCAAGGGATTACCATTTCCCAGTTTTCTGGAGTTAAGTATCCTGGCTAAACAATGCACATATGAGAAAAGGCAGGTAAACTCTTAATAGCTTCCTAGCAATACCAGCAGGTGTCTCAGCTACGAGAACTGCAACTGCGTAAACAACAACACCATTAAAGCCAATGTAGTTAATAAGATAAATATGCAAATACCATCCTTTAGTGTGAAAACAGGGATTGGCTGATTCTGGAGCATATCAATTTGCCACATATGATAATGACCCTTTGCTTTTTAATCTATAGTAATGGTCATCTAAGATGATTATGGATGCCTTACCTTGTGCCAACCTTTCAAAGGCCATTTCCTCTTCTTCAGCATGAACCCTTCATGTTTGTCTGGCTTCTGGACATTGGTCTGCCCAATTTTGAGGCCTTCTATAATTTCCCAGCTGTCTGGCTCCTGAAGGAAGAAGAGTGGGGGGGAAAAACACCAACAAATTCTGTGAGTTGAGTTCAATAATTATCTGAAACACTTGCACTGTGTTGGATGAGCAGCGGCAGATCTTGGGGTCTCAAATTTCATTGGTGCCCTGTGTGATGCCAAAATCCAGTGCCCTGTTGGTATACTGCCAAAACAAACTTCAAACGAGTCTTTAAACAGGGCCTTGAAGCACATCCTTGAGGCACGCCTAAAACATCAACTTAGCAACAAGAATTCTCCCCAGCAACAGATGTCTGGAGAGATGCAGTTGAGTGTGAGGCAGTCAAGGGTTGGTCATTGAGGCTGCCAGAATATATGAAAGTCTGTGAACCTGCCTCTCTGGCCCGATAGCTGAAGGGAGCAGAACTATATATATCTGTATATAGTTCTGTTTCTTATTTTATATGTAGACCAGTAGCGTTGTGCAACTTCTAATGCAGATAATAAAGACTTTAGAGAAGATCTGCATGGGTGAGGAGTTTATTCCTGTCACAGGAATTCACCAAGAGAGGGCTGGACTGCTGCTGCTGTGAAGACGCAGAAAGACTTTCTGAGTAAATCTGCTGATACCCCAAGAGTTGGCGCTCACGCACTAACATGCCCCCCACTCCATTCTAAATCTTAGTTGCAGCACCCCCAAGGCTATGAGCCAAGTGTGACCATATCGGTCACATTCTCCTAAATCCACCTCTGGTACGAGCCATAGCTTCAAACCATTAAGGCTGCAAGCCAATGTTCATTTCTATAAAAGTAAGTCCCACTGAACTCAGTGAGACTTGACTTCTGAGGCCAAGATACCCAGCACTGTGTCAAGACCCATCAGCGACGTTATTCTCTCCAACTCTGCAAAGGGAACTCTTTCAAATAAGAGTGCATGGATCAGATGGAGACAGAGCAGACTGGATGACTCAACTTTGGTGTCGTTTCATAAACTGTTCTGGTGTCATGCTGTTTTATAAATTACATGCCCTTTCTAGAAGCTCACAATAAGGGAGAACAAGGGGTTAGTGTTGAAAGAACTTCTCTGAATGTGCCTGCAAAGTCACTTGGCTGTTCTCAAAAGGCTTCACTGACAAAATTAGCCCCAAGATGCACTCTTTTCTCACGAGAACCAAAGGGTAAAAGCTTGGTTTTCTTCTTCAAAAAGAACATCATAATCTAATCTGCTAAAAAGCAGTTCTTTCATGAGGTTTGTTGGTCACATTCACACCATTCATTTAAAGCACATTTATAGCACTTTAACAGTCATTGCTCCCCCCCCCAACCCTGGAAGCTGCAGCTTACCCCACACAGAGAAAGAGTGCTATAATTCCCCTTAACAAACTACAGTTCCCAGGATTCTGTGAAGGAGGCCATGTATGGTAGGGAAGCACACAGAAGCTGCTGCCACACGTTTGTGGCTGAGCAGCAGTTACACAGGGTATTACTGCAAGCACTGGAATTGTCTTGGGGTCTTCAGATGAAGAAGAATAGGAGTTTGGATTTGATATCCCGCTTTATCACTACCCTAAGGAGTCTCAAAGCAGCTAACAATCTCCTTTTCCCTTCCTCCCCCACAACAAACACTCTGTGAGGTGAGTGGGGCTGAGAGACTTCAGAGAAGTATGACTAGCCCAAGGTCACCCAGTAGCTGCATGTGGAGGAGTGGGGAATCGAACCCGGTTCACCAGATTACGAGTCCACCGCTCTTAACCACTACACCACACTGGCTCTCATGAAGGGTGATATACAAATTTCATAAATGAATATAAACTCATTGTGGAGGTATCCTCAACCTTCTCAGATGCAGGACCCACTTTTAACCCAAATATGCATTTGGGGAACCATTTCTTAATCGTTTACCACATATTTGCAAGGTGGTAGTGCTCCTGTTGCGACCCACCTTGAATCAGGTTCCAACCCACTAGTGGGATGCAAACCATGAGTTCTGAAGACCAGAGAGCCAGTCCATGGGAATAGTGTTGTTTGGAGTTTTGGCGACAGCCATATCATAACATAGGTACTGTTCCTAAACTATCCTTCATTCTTTTAATTGTTACATATGACAAACCTTTTATTGTTACATACTTCAAAATAAAATCAAGGATTAAAAAATTGAAAGTGATCGATGAAGCAATCAAGAATTGATTGAAAGCTAACAATCTTCCATCCATATATGTGATCAGTATTTACAAAATTACAAAATAAACAAACTGAACTGAACCAAGCCAATGTATTGAAAAAGTTTTGCACACCAAATTCTAGTGCAGACACCGTGAACTTAACTTACTTTAGATACAGCTACTGGTTCATTTTCTAGCAACTGTTTGCCAAGTACCGGATCTGTGCTTCCAGAAGAAAAATTCCGCTCTAACACATGGCCACTCTAAAACAAAAAGAAGAGGAGTCAATTCTAAGCCACAGAAGGTATATTTTCTGCATACAAACCAGAGACCAAAGGCTGGCATAGTTTATAGAAGAACACCCCATTACTTGAAACTTACCAAATTTTCCTCCACTGACCCTTATAATTCAGAAATTTCTACCCTTCTGTATTTTACACTTTAATACCACCTTACGTGCAAATGAATGTCAGCAGTATCACATGTGTCTTGCTCTAAGATTAGCAATTTTTATCTATCTTTGGATAGAAAGGTGAGGTAGGAAATTCGCTCAAACAAATTTTAAAAACCCAGAAATGTCATAGAGAGTTGAGTTTAGCTGCACTGTTTCATCTACTGCCTTTACATTCCGCTGCCCTTTCTTCTAGGGAAGAATTGGGAGCTTATCTCCCATCCTGCATGAGACAACACAGGGCTGGAGATAAGCCACTCTTCCTCATTTGGGGAAGCAGGGTTAATAAGCAGACATCTCTCATCCTCCTTCTGACCAAGGAGATGGGAGCGAAGCATCCTTTGCTCCCACCCAGCTTCCTGTTTCATTGTGATTGCCCAATCTGCAACTGTCCTGCGGCTAGTCAAGCAAGTACGGTTGGAACAGTCACAACGAAGAGGCATGTATTCTGTCGCTAATCTCCCTACCACCCCCCCACCCCCCAGTTTCTGTAAGAGGAAATTACGTTCAGCAAATAATATGAGACTTAAAATTACAAGAAAGGAGAATTTCCTGCCTTGTAATTTGCAAACAGAAGGGGAAATATAGGAGGGGAAAGTACATAACAAAGCCAACTGTTAAATTAATGGAAAAGCTGCATCTTGCAAGGTTCCTTAGCGTGGAAAATATATTGTGAATTTATTGTCTTGGAGCAGACTTATGCACACACATGCACACACTCAGTAGTTCGGTCCTACAATAGAGTTAACTCTGGGATCATCAGCAAGTCACCCGTTGGCATTAAGGCACATCTGCCCAGGCCTTCTGCCCTCCCAATGATTATTATCCCTGTTCCCCATTGGGGCTGCGAATTCCACCCTCGTTAAAGAGATAAAACCCCAGATGAATGTAGCTGGTGGGGGAAGTCGTGGGCAAGGTGAATTTGTAAAGGGAAATCAGTAGACAAGTCAAGCGCTTCTCTTTCTTTTTGCTGCTCTCTGAAGAGTCTCCTCATCCCCCATTTGTTAGCAAACACGTGGATGTGGTCATGTGTTGCCAACATAGGGAGGAATTCCATGCGGCAGTCTTCTGATCATTCCATCAGTGCAGAAATTATTTCACCATCCCCTTCCCTGCCCCCCAACCAGCGTGCAATTCTCCCAACCCCTCTCAGAGCCAATTCTGGGGGCACAAGGGGTGCACAGGAGCTTCCACTGCCAGGACTCATTAGTTGAGCCCCAGCCATTACATCTAGTTCTGCTCTAATAGTAGGTGTAAACAGACTTTCCTATGTACAGAAGAACACCTGGCATTCACCTTATTCACCAAATCCCTGGCATATTTCTCTTTTCTTAAGCAGCAGCAGAAAGCAGAAGATTACAGGGTCTGTAGGGGATTTTTATTGATGTTACAAAGAAAGCTTTTGTATGTTGACCTCCAAGCGTTGCTGTCGCTATGATGAAATTATAGTGAGATAGCATCTTAAATGCGAATAAATAGCATAGCATTTTTTCACTTACCTGCCTGCTGTCCCGCTGGGAGGATGAAGAAGAAGAGGCACTTTTATGAGATGGTGTAGAGGTTTTGTGAGCAGGAGATATACCTTTCTCCTCTGAACTCATTGCTGCAGCTAGATTCTGGTGATCTCCTTTGACAATTAAGACCACATCAATCTCCTTTCAGTCTTCCATACAGGGAGGGAGCCAAAATATTTTCAGCATTTTTTCTATTTCACAGAGTGTCCATTACACACAAGGGTAAGAAGAATTCAAAAGGCATCCAAGCCAGACCTTTAACAAGAAGAAAAAGAAGATGAAGAGATTGTATATGCTTACAATTAAATATTTATTTATTTATCATATATAGAGAGGTAAAGGACCCCTGGACGGTTAAGTCCAGTCAAGGCCACAATTGGGTGCGGCACTCATCTCACTTTCAAGCCGAGGGAGCTGGGGGTTTGTCCACAGACAGCTTTCCAGGTAATGTGGCCAGCATGACTAAACTGCTTCTGGTGCAACGGAACACCATGACGTAAACCAGAGCTCACAGAAACGCTGTTTACCTTCCCACTGCAGCGGTACCTATTTATCTAATTGAACTGCTGTGCTTTCGAACTGCTAGGTTGGCAGGAACTGAGACAGAGCAGCAGAGCTCACCCTGTTGCAGGGATTCGAACCGCCAACCTTCCAATTGGCAAGCCCAAGATATACTAGGATTCCTAGCTAAATTCAAATATAACATAAAGTGGGTGGAATCCCGCCCCCCCCCCAGCAGGATTTTGTTTTGTTTTCATTTATTGAGCGATATACACACACACACATATCTCAGCAAATGAAAACAACAAAAAAAATACTGCCCACTTTATGTTATATTTGAATTTACCTAGGAATCTCTTAGGTCATATCTACCAAACTACTAAAAAACACTAAAACCCAGTAAAACGTGAAGCAAATGTTTTATATGAAAAATAAATATGCAAATCCACTGAGAAATATCAGAAGCTTGCTGGATTGTTTTTTTCCACAAGGTGCCAATAAAATATTTTCTAAAGGAGAAGTTTTGGTGAAAGCAAATGCAATTCTATGGCAGAGGCAATTTCCGTTCTGCTCTGCAAGATTTCCAGCTAGTACTTTCACGAGTGGCAGAACACAATTCCTCATTACACGGTATCAGTTCTCTCTTGCCTGGTTTCTCAAGTGCAAATATACTGTGCAGCAGAAATGGTTCACCATCAGCTTTCCCTACCCATTACGCACACCGCCACAGCTTTGTTTAGAAATATATGCAGACATATAGCAAACATCATTTAAATAACATGTAGGAAGCCCAATATGTATAGTGACCATAGCATCTTCATCTTTTCCACATACAAATGCCACGGATGTGGTTGTTACTATCCAATGTGGCCATCTGCCTTACATTCATAACCCACTTTGGAACTTACATTGAGCAAAAAAAAAAACCTGTGTTTCATCCTGGAATAAGAAAGTATGGTCATTTCTGTGGCAATTTACAAAAGGAGGTTAGTCCTAAACACTCTGGCTTTGATCCCAAGATGACACGAAGGGAACGAGGCAGAGGGCCTTCTTGGTGGTGGCACCCGCTCTGTGGAATGCCCTCCCTTCAGATGTCAAGGAAATAAACAACTAAATGACTTTTAGAAGACATCTGAAGGCAGCCCTGTTTAGGGAAGTTTTTCATGTTTGATCTTTTATTGTGTTTTTAATATCCTGTTGGAACCCGCCTAGAGTGGTGGGGTGGGGTATAAGTAATAAATTCTTCTTCTATTTTTACTTCTACTTCTTCTTCCTCACTATTGAAAAGGTAGGTAAGCCACTTTTTCTACCTGACTCAACTCTTTAAGTAGCAGCCACTGGTGTGCCAAACACCAGAAGAAAAAGGAAAGGAAAGAAGTACTGAGAGTCATTCTCAACCCACATTCCCCCAACACTGGAGCTGTCACACTATCAAAGAAATCTTATGGATTTTAATCAAATCGGCATTGTAGTGCAAATTAACACGTAAGAGGAAAAAGCCCATAATTTGCTGAAGAGTAGGGGGGGGGGAAAGAAGAAGATACCAGCATGTGGAATCAAACAGTTCATTTCTTTATTGAAGGAATACGGTATACATGAATCTGCTAAGAACTACAGTGGTACCTCTGGTTATGAACTTAATTAGTTCCGGAGGTCCGTTCTTAAGCTGAAACCGTTCTTATCCTGAGGCGTGCTTTCACTAATGGGGCCTCCCGCTGCGCGTGTGCCTTTGGCGCACAATTTCCGTTCACATCCTGGGGCAAAGTTCGCAACCAGGAGCAGCTACTTCCAGGAGCAGTTAGTAGAGTTCATAACCCAAAGCGTTCGTAACCAGAAGCATTCGTAACAAGAGGTACCACTGTAGTGGCAGTCGGACACGACTAAACAACAACAATGAGATGCTTAGGGAAACTAGCATTGATAGCCCAACAGACAATCAGAGTTGGCTGAAAAATAAATCTCTCCAGATCCCCCAAACCAGCAACTTTGTTCCTCAGCTCCAAAAGTAGTGTGTTGTGTTGTTGTTTTACAGGGGCAGGTGTATGTCCAAAAACAACTCCCAAAGGAGGGCAAATTCTCAGAACTCCTGGGTGTTGGGGTAGCTAGCCATTAATGACAAGATGGCTGAAACCCTCTCCTTTCCTCTCTCTTAAAAATAAAAGAAAGTTTCGCCACTTCTTCAAGTGGCAGCTAGGCTGCCCTCATCAGCTTAAGAGACATTTCCTTTTAATTTGGTGCAGAATGTTCCATGGGAATTATGGTACATCATGAGATGAGGCTCTTAATCCCAGGGTTGTGGGTTCAAACGCCACATTGGGCAGAAAATACCTGCATTGCAGGGGGTTGGACTAGATGACCCTTGTGGTCCCTTCCAAGTCTACAATTCTAGGATTCCATGAAACAGAGTGTTGTTTTCCATGATCCAAGCAAACACCCTATCGACTGCCAGCTTTACTGTGGTTGCAATGCCCTGCAAGTACATAGGAAAATGCTGCATTGTGTTTACATAAGTCCATAAAAATGTGTGGGATTGTATTCATAATGTATAACTATACCACCTAAGAAACCTGCCACAAAGGTCCTAAACTGGGTTTCTCCAGCTGTTTTTGGAATACAATTCCCATCATCCCTGACCACTGGTCCTGCTAGCTAGGGATGATGGGAGTTGTAGTCAACAACAGCTGGAGACCCAAGTTTGGGAAACCCTGCTCTAAAATAAAACTTTTTATTTCAAGATGCACACACCCTCTTGTTTTAACACAAATCAATTGCAATATTCAAAATAGCTGCACCTTTAAAGGTTTGGCATATCACAACAAAAGAGTGAAATAATAAATTTACGGTAGTTCACTGAGCTGCACTCAAGAGCTTATTGAAGAGATAGAAAGGAAAGGCTTTCAGGTATTTATGGCGAACAGAAGACATTTAAAAAAACTTGCCAACTAGACCTTGGGTAAATGGAAATCTAATGGGTTTTTGAAACATCTGAGCTCCCTTCAGTTGATTCATGTGGAAAATTTTATATTTATATTTAGCACTGGTCATGTGGATGTGTGTGTAAGATATATATATAGAGAGAGAAAGAGATCTGACACTTGGGTCTGTGCCCTGCACTTTTTATAAAGTGCGTCATTGCTAGATCCAGGCAAGGTAATAACCAATTGTTTCACAGAAAAGCAAGAGAAATAGGTTGCTAGGTTTGACTGGTGAACAACACTGTGTGTGGAAATAACTAAAACAATGCAGCCCGTGCAGTGTGGTGGATAGGGCCACATTCACATCATGAATTAAAAGCACTAAGATAATTCTGAGACCTGTAGTTAGTTAAGGGTTCTGAGAGTTTTTAGGGCACCTCGATTCTCCTCCCAAAGTTACAACCTCCAGAGTTCCCTGTGAAAAATTATTAATTGTTAAACCGCTCTGCAGTTCTGTGAGGGGAATAGAAGTCTCCTAACAATTCTCAGCCCCCTTAACAAACTACAGTTCCCAGAATTCTTTGGGGGGTAAGCCATGACTGCTTAAAATGGTATCAGAGCGCTTCAAATGCATGGTGTGAATGTGGCCTGGGTCTAGCAGACCCAACTTCGTATTCCCATTCAGCCATGAAGTTCAATGTGTAATCTTGGGCCAGTCAGGTTCCCTAAGCCTAATCTACCTCACAGGATTGTTCGGGGGATAAAATATGGGAGGAACCATATATGCTGCCTTGAGCTCCTTGGAGGAAATGCTGGATGTAAATGTACTAATAAAAAGCATACTATAAATGCAAGTTTGCTTGGTAGAGCAGAACGTGATAGGGTAAGGGTTATGATTACTCCCTCAGATATACCTATGGCAATGTGTCTCAACGTACCGTCTTAGACAGTAAGAGTAGTGGGGAAGATGAGAGGAATAAAGCTGACATTTGGACTAAAGATTGTGGCAGACTGTGATGTCAAGGTACATTTAACAGACTCAAAGAATGGTTGGCCACAAGGCACTTGAAAGTAACGTAGTCCAGTCAGCCTGCTATACTGAGGCATAATTGTACACACACACACACACACACACAAACAGTGCCCCAATTTTTGCCTCATATTGCTTTTACAGCAGAATTACAAGATGCCAGAAGCCTCATGTAGTTACTCAAACTTTTGATACTACCCTTCATTATCTGCATCCCAGTGTGATTCCCAATGGCATAGCAAACACAGCAAACCGAATACCTTGGTTGCAGCAAAAATAACTAAAACATTACTAAGGCACATCACTATAAGAGACTTTTCAAAAGCTTCGGCGAAAAAGAAAGGTTCTAAACGACAGCAACGTTGCTATCAAGTGAGACCTTTCAAGGGAACTATCACTGGAGAAGAGAAACTCTCCTTAGGATGGACAGCATTAGCATCAATATGGGAAAGGCAATATGTAGCATTCATATTGTCCCAGTTTTAATCCCTGGCACTTCAGGTAGAGATGGAGAAGGCTCCCATCCGAAACCCTCGCATCAGAGTAGACATTATTGAGCTCTATGGGTGGCTTCACTCCATATAAGGCATGAAAGCAAGTGAGTTTTCTATGATTTATTGGGAAATATCCATCAACTATCCAAAAGAGAAAGTATGTTATTCAAGAAGGCAGATGTTTTGGGTTAAACCACAGAGCCTAGGATTTGCCGATCAGAAGGTCGGTGGTTCGAATTCCCATGACGGGGTGAGGTCCCGTTGCTCGGTCACAGCTCCTGCCCACCTAGCAGTTCGAAAGCACGTCAAAGTGCA